GTCGTCAATTCTGAATGACAAGCATGATTGTCATAGTTCTCTCTCATAAACCAACTTGAGCGTGGCTCTCGCTATCAACACTTGATTGAATCATGCAATTGGTTGTTGGAATTGTATGAGGACCACGACTAAGCCATTAGCCTGAAACATACATCTATATACTGAATGGTTGGTTGAAATTAGATAATCTCAATGCTAGTACACTCGTCATGGCCTTCTTTAACTTTTCAAAAGCCTGGGTTGCCGCTTCCCCCATTGAAAGTTATCCTTTTTCGATTGCCTTGTCAACGACCATTCATTCACAAATTTCCGATAGTATCTTGTAAGTCTCATAAATCTTCTCATCCATTTCAAGGTCTTAGGTAGTGGCCAATCCAACATAGTTACCACCTTCGATGTATTCACCGTCACTATTGCAACCGACCCACAAGTCCTAAGCACTCCGCCTTCGACTAGATTAACCTTATTTTGTGCCCATTTGTTTGATGTCTTGGATTGATATTTTTTCAGTTTCTTGTTAGTTCTGATGAATATCATGATTCTGCGTAGTAGGCAATGTCACCCTAGAAACACCATGAAAAAAAGACAGGAAGTTGGATATGTAACTACTTGTTAGAATTTTTTTTTTGTCATGGTTGCTAATAAGCAACGCACAAAAGCACGCCATTCACTATAATGTTGTGCATGTGTGTGTTGCTTTAGATACCATGACTGCAATTTATGTTGCCAAAGAAGGTAGTCATCGGGTCAAAGAGTAAATAATTTGCAATATTTTTCTTTGTTTTATTTTCTGAAGAGGCTTAGCTCTCGTTATGCTAAAATCTAATCTAGAACATAATAAAATATTACGAGTAACATTCTCTTTCTAGGCCTTGAAAGGTGCGTATAATGTGATATATAGGTGCAAGCAATGTTAGTGAAATGGGCATTTGTGATTGAGCTCCAACATGATTGTGATTTCATGCTCACACTCATTAATATGTGTGCGCTGCTGACTCATATGTTCATGTGGTGAAGATAGATATTGTGAGAGAAAATTGAGAGGATATCTTGTGAATGAGTCAGGGCATTAAGTAATAGCTTTTGTGTTGTGGCAGGACTTGATAAGAATATTGAGAGCGAGGAGTGTTTGTGCATGAGAGAGAGAGAGAGGTGGCTTGAGTGATTTTTTTTTTGTATTTATAAATAAGTGTTGAATTGATTGCGCGAATCAATTCCCCTATGTGATGTTTTGGAGTATGTGTTGTTTTTATAGAAATGATTGGAAATTGAGGGAGAGAGATGACAAGTATATTTTTGTGTTTTTTCATAAACAAATGTTTGAATGAGAAGGAGAATTATTTTCCACTTGTATATTTTGGAGGAAGTGATATTTTTAGTTATTATTCTTTTGTTTCATATGCCTCCAAAAATCTTTTATACTAATTAATTTTATTTAATGATCCTAGAAAAATTATTCTCCCTTTTGCTTATTTATTTTGTGTTTTGGGGTTAGTTGTGAGTTATGATTTGAAATAAGTTTTTAGTTTCAATATTTTTTTTTTGGTGCAAGCATAGTCGATATTGTTTTTTATTTATCATCATCATTATTTCAAATTAAAAAAAATATCACTAGCTTCTTTTGTTTTTGATTAAAAATTTTATTATAACATTTTTTTTAATTGACATTTGGTTTTGCTTAATACTATTTTTTATTATTAGGGTTATATTTATATATATATATATATTGAAAGCCCAAAAAGGCTAATATATTAAATAAAAAGAAAGATACAAATACAATGTGTGGGAGGGCCCAAGCATGACACCCTGCCCACACAAAAAACGACAAAGGTTTCAGAACTAAAAAAAAATAGAAAATACATTATATATTAAAATAAAAAGCCTAACAGTGTCAAAATACATAGTATCAGGTGGCTAGAGAGCGACGCAATTTGGTCTTGCCTTTGCCTCTAGTTCTAGGGAAGGAGCAAGCTAATAAGTTGGTAAGATGATTGTCATTGTCAGTAGTAACCAATGTATCATCCAATATATTCCCGAGTTAGAGCCGACCTCCATACTTGTTCTTCCTCCTGGAATAGACTTGTCATCCCTCATCTGAAAAATCAGTCTGATGTTGTGGTAGAGCTGAAGTAGAAGGAATACCAACAGTAATACCCACAATAGGTTCTAGTATATGTGAAGTATGAGTTGCCTCTACACCGGATACTTCCTGAAGAAGTGGAGCTACGAGGCTCTCCTGATTATCAGTTTGAACACTATCATTTGTAGTTAATAGTCCATCAATATTGTTTTCTATGGGGTTTGAAGGTGTCAACATCACATTAGTCGCAGTAGCAGTAACAGTAACAGCAGGGGCTAACAACAGGGGCAATAAAATCAGACACCAAAATTTATTCTTTGGTAGCTTTCTCTCTAGGTGGTACAAATATATCCTTAGATCCATCCTTATTCACTTGATCTTTAGATTTCAAATTAGGGTGAAGCTTATGACATTTATCAAGAGTATGCCCAAACATCTTACAATGAGAACAATAAGAAGGTATATGCTCCATGACGATTTGTTGCCAATATCCATTATGCGTTGTGCCTAAGCATACTTCAGTAACATCAGACAAAGTAATATCTCTTTTTACAATTATTCTGGCCACAGAAGGTCTGATAAGGTTGAAAGTGGGTAGATCTAGCTTCATAGGACCCCCAAGTATGACACCAATAGAGTAAAGAACCTAATGATGAAAAAAGTGCAGCTTGAGACCATGTATACTAAACCATACCGGTACAGTAGGAGGTTCATGATTGGGGTCAAAATCAGGAGACCACTTGAGTAACTTCATTGGTTTACCAACAATGTTAAAATGTTTTTTTTTTGGAGAAAATACGAGTGTAGTCTTCAGACACGGTTAACTGAATCAAAACATTCCCCCCATCCATCCCATCCATGAGCCCTACTTTCCACATTCCTGTTAATTTGAGGTCATCAAAACTTTTTCTGATAACTTTCATAGCTGGGTGTTTCCACTGAAATTTCTCCATGAGAGCAAATTTGAATTTGTCAGTCAGGGTTGAAATTTCTGACTCAGAGAAAAAAAAGTGTTGTCTTTCCACTCTTTCTGCTTGCATTTTTAATAAAGGGACAGTCACCTGTACCATCACGATTCTTCTTATAACTTGAGGGGAAGACAACTGTCTTCTCCCCCTGAGGATTACCCACAATTCTTATGCATTTACATATCTAGCACCTAAACCTTTATATTTACAAGGAAATCACCCTCCCTATATATGAAAAGATGGATTTTACTGTGAAGGAGTGTCATTGGTGTTTTTTTTTTTGTATTATTTGAGAGAATTGGGTGCTTGGCCTATAAAAATGAAGGTTTAGGTGCGAGATATGTAAATGTGTAAGAATTGGGTGTGTGTGTATATATATATAGTTCACCAAGGCGTTCTTGTGGACTTTATTTCGGGGCTGGGGATTTCTCTTGTTATCTAAAGCTCAACAACTGAAAGTTGGCTTCTTCAACTAATTTCTGATTCTCTGATAAAGTTGTTTATGATTCCCTATTTTAGGTCATTAAATTCTTTATTTCTATTCAGATACTGATTTGAAAGGTTGAGATTGCGTTTTCACATTTTCTTTAGGTTGTCTCTATTTGGCCGTTGATTTGAAAGGTTTGAATTCTTGTCATGAGCTTCAAGATCTTCCTTAAGAGGGGATTCAGCATCCTATTTCCCTCTGTTCTTAATTTTTCACCTTGGCCGTGATTTAATTGTTATTTTTCCGTCCATCCTTGATTTGCACTATTGCCGGATCCTAGTGTTTGGGCTGTAGTGAAATTCAACCGTTTCTACCTGCAATGTTGGCGTCTGAAAATATAAGAAGAGCTAAATCCTGTTTTTGTGCTTGGCTGAAATTTAGAAGTTTTGTTTTAGCTAGATTTTGAGATTATTGAAAATGGGACTTGTAATTTTTAACCAAATTTTGAGATATATGAAAACACGTCAATTTGGATCTTTTATTTTTTTTAAATATGACTTTTGAGGCGTTTAACTTATTATTCTATTGTTTAATAAAATTCTATCATCCCTTCAAACTTCCATATGATGTTGGTGTGAACTCTTTGAGTATAGTGCAAGTATTGATTACAACTTCCACCGGAAGTTTTCTTTGAAAAATGCATGAGATATGAATCTTCTTTGGCAACTTTTATCCTGTTTTTTTTATCTGCATACTTGTGATTGATTTTGCATGCATAATTGAGATTTGGTTAAATCTATTGTAATTTTTTTTCTTCTTACATTTTATATTCTAGTTTTTGTAGTTTTTATTCTATCTCATTATGAATAATTTCACTATTAATTATCAATTGGAACAAGTTTTATGTATTTTCTTTATTGCATCAAAAGAGTTGAAGTTATTGCCCAACAAAATTTAAGCGTTTTGTTTGTGTTTTTGTTTCATTCTTGCATTGGAAAAAGTTAGCAAGTCAAGAAAGTGGGCATTTCACCGTGGATTGTAAAATTATTTTGTCCAGGATGGTTTCAACTTTGAATGTTAGTTTGTTCTATTTTTGTTTACTAAATATTTTCATTTTTTTATGTAAATCCTTATATAGGAATTTCTTTTTTTGGGCAATCTGATCATTAGGTGACTGGTTAGGCTTTATATCATTTTCCAAAAAGGTTTTCACATATGCATTTATTTAACATAGCGGGTGATTTTATCAACCTACCTTTTCCGCAACCTTCTTGCTTGCATTATTTCATAGGTTTGTTTACCAATACTTTAAGGAACATAAAGAAATAACCACTTCTTTAATCTGGCATAAGACGTTAATATTTACTTTTGATAATTTTTCATTGCTTTTCAAAGAATTACATAGGTGCCCCAAAACGTTCTGATAACAATTTACTATCATCCTATTTTGACTTACCATTATTGCTTTTTTCCCTTCGTTTCCATGATTTCTAAAAGCAGTACTTTAAAACATTTTTATTTTCAGCGGGAAATAACCAAGTCAGACATTAGTGAAGCTCCGGATGCCTATGATGATATTTATGTCCTTGTTTCAGCAGACACATATGAGAAGGTTGATACAGCAGTGGCACTTATTGAGCTTCTTCTCACTCCGGTATCTGTAAGTATGATGTCATAAAAAGTTAAGCTGTTTTTTCTCTGAACTTCTTAAAAATTGTGTTGTCTTTTTAAAACCTTTGATCAGGGAAATGCTGGAATCTCTCCAAAAGGTGCACCTTCATCAGCTGGGATCAATGAGGATGTTCAAACCAAAAATCCTGACTCATCTGGTTTTTCGATGACGCCTCAACCTTCATCACTGCCAGTTATTCAAGCTGACCAAACACCATTTCAGCCATACCCTGGTCACTGGTTCCCAGCAACCACACCAAATGTTCTTTCTCACCCATCTTCTGCTTTCATGCCTCCACTTTTTCCCAACAATCCAGCTCCAATCTTACGCCCCCCTCTTGGTGTGCCTCAATATTTTGCTCGACCTTCTGGTATTCTCTCAGTTTCAATAACATCGACACCAGCTGTCTTAAGGCCCACATTGCCTATTCAGTTACCTCCAAACCAATCCCCTTCAGGTCCCATTTCACAACGATTAAGCTCTGGTCCAGTGGCTCCTTTAAGACCCCCAGGACCAGTGAATCCACAGATTGGGCCACCAATCAGGCCATTAATAACGCCAATAGCTTCTTCCAGCTGGCCTCCTGCTTCAAATGCTCCTCTTGCATGGCCAGGCTCGAATCTGATGGTTCCTCCTTTAAATACAACAATGAAGCCACTGGCTTTTCCTTCAGCTCCCACTAGCTCCAGGCCTTCTCAATCTAACGTTTCTGATAATGCTGCAAGGCCTGCCGCAAATTTTGCTCCTCATTCAATTTCTCTTATTCCCACCCGACCATCTACGAGTCAAACTAATTTTTCATTGGCACCTTCCCAGACTGGACTAGTTCCAACTGCAGGAATTGCTTCATTATTCCCAAATTCATCAATACCTCCTCCATTACCAGTACCAGGGTCCTTGATATCACCACCACCACCACAAGCACCATTACTACGTCCGACTTCTTTCTCTCAGATAGCACCTGCATCAGTAATGGCTACACCTTCCCCTTCAGTAGTCCGGGCTCCAATCCCATTGCCAACAACATCTCGGGCACAAGCTCCTATGCCTGTTCAACCACAATTGAAGCCACCTCAGCCACCACCAGCAATATCGCCTTCCAATTCAACCATTAGTCCTACTTTCCCTCCTCCAACAAACAGTCCTGTTGGTGCTCCCCCTCCTACAACTCCCAAACCACTTCGTCCCATTTCTGGAGATTTTACTTTTCAGCCTCTCGGAACTCAGCTGCCATCTCCGCCAAGCAGTCCAGCATCTCACCCTTCTGCAATCCAGAACTCGCTGCAGGCTCCATTTGCAGCACCAAAAGCACCATCCTTTAGGCCAGCTTTGCACAGCCCTATGCCTGCTGCTCTTGCTCAAAGTTCGGCAAGAACTCCAGTTCTTCCAGCTGCTTCTGCGATTGCTTCTTTTCCAGCCAATGCAAGCAACATTAGACCACCACCTACCCCCATTCTTCAAGCCTACCCAGGTCTAACCCCTGTACAGCCAATGGCTTCAGCTATTCCAGTTGGCAAACCAAGCTTTCCTCGAGCATCCCAAGCTCCAAATCCTTCGGGTACCATGCCTTCTTATCCTACAACTTTTCAACAGGTTCATCAGAATCAATTGCCTCATGTTAGCAGACCTGGTGGAAGTCTTGTGGTACCAAACCTACAGTTGGGTACTAAACCAATAGGCTTTACTGCAGGAGACGTACACTCAACTCCTGGAGGCAGTCAGATTTATGATCCATTTTCACCAACAGCTTCAGCAGCACCTCCTCATCAGGGAACCAATAATCCTGCCAATATTAAAAAACCAGAGACAGATGCCGAATATGAAGATCTGATGGCCTCTGTCGGTGTGAAGTGATTCAGTCAGAAACTCGAACTCCAACTCGAACTAGAGCACGTATAAGAAGTAACAACAGGAGGAGTGCTGCATCTGTGCTTCAAACTGTTTTGGTTGAACTGGGGTGGGAAACTCAATCTTTTTTTTTTCTTTAAAAACTTTCATAATCTGTTGCTGGTTAGAGAAAGCTTCATGTCTTATTGCAGATTTCATTCACTTTGTTGCAAGTCTGGTTCGAGCAAACTTAATAAAAGTATTAAGGTAAAACAATTAGGGTTGACAAGGGTTGAAATGGCAGTGTTGTTATTTTGAAACTTAAATTGTCATCTATGAATCTTAGCTGCTTCAACTGAGGCAACTGCAGCTTTATAGATATTTGGTATTAAGCATAGAATCAGTATGAAGATGCTCGTGATCTTTTACTCTTAGAAGTTAGTTGAGCGCTGCTTTTGAGTATTTTACTCGGTGATTATATTTTAATGAATTCTTCGTAACAAGTGTATTTTAGAGCATTTACATACCGTGCCACACAATGTTTATATATTTACATATATAACCTCTTTTTTTTAATTAACATTCAAAACACTTAAATGCTTAATCTCACATCAGAAATACTGTTATTATTATTATTATTATTATTATTTTAAAATACGTCTTTTATCAAGCACCTAAACTTTAGTTTTTTATATATGCATGAAAAGATGTGTTTAATTTTTTTAAAATTAAAATGGTGCAATATTTACAAAAGCAAATTTTAGGTGTTAGATATATAAATACATTGGAATTGGATGGTGTGCATGTAAATGCCTCCTTTATCATATTTTCTATATTATAACATACTTTCAGTTGTTTGTTAGCCCTCACATCAAGATAATGTATGTTTTGTCCGTATAGCATACTTTAGATTATGGTTAAAGAAAGAAATTGCTTTTAAAAAAAAAAAAATATTTAGTTTTTCTAATATTCCACATTTGTAATTATATTATAGCTTCAAATATACAAGTTTGTAACTAATAAGAAAAATTTATCTCCTCAATTTGTCACAAAAGTTCAATCTATCTTCCTACTAGTGCACCCTCACTCATATTCTAATTAAATGGGATTATTATCATCACATGAAAATAATGACCATGTTATCTAAATAAATAATCTTTATCATTATTATTGTAAAATTATCATTTTTATTAATGCATGCAAAAGTTAAAAGTGAATTTTTTTTAACATTTAATATTACTATTAATCTCCAATCTATTTTTTATTCATATCATATTTTAATTTCATCCATTAAACTTACATGGCCAAGTTTTTTAGCGTTTTTTCTGTCAGGACTCCTGATGTAGCTTTACGTGCGGTGTAAGTTATTCTTAAGTTATTTTCAGGTTATTTCTGTGTGATTTTCAATAATACCGAAATAATCCTGAAATAACCCGCGGTCTTTATTTTGGGGTATTTCTGGGTTATTTGGGTATTAGTAAAAATAACCCAGAAATAACCTGAAAATAACTTTGAAATAACTTGGTCCGCACGTAGAGCTGCGTCAGGAGTCCGAACAAATTTTTTTTTAAAGTTTTTTAAGGGAATTTTACATATACAAAAGTATTTTACATAAATATTTAAACCCCATAATTTTTGTGTAAAAAGATATGTATTACTTTTAGAAAACTAATAATCATAATCTTTTTGATGTGGTATTAAAATTTTGAGTGATAAACATGTAATGAAGTGTTAGTTATGTAAATATATAAGAATTATGTAGAGTTATATAAATGCACCGTTTTTTTAATACTAATAAAATTTAAATATATCAATATCGTAGTAAGAATAAGGTTTAAATATTTGTATTAAATTTATTGAATTTAAAATGTTAATGATCATATTTATGCACGTGCAAGTAAAGCTAGGGATGCCTAGGTTTTTGTTCTTTCATAATTTTCTCCCCGCTTCTACTGGCCGCCCCACCTTCCACCATTCTTCTTTGCAGTAATCTCGGTGTCCATTTCCCATTATTCTATCTCGTCTGCCTTCTAACCCTAAACCCCTTATCCTTACTCCTTGGATTCAAGGGTTGGAATACTGTGCTTGTAAGAAAAGTTACAGTTTTATTCTTCTTTTAGGTCTAAAAATGTCGTGCTTCTCTAGTCTTACGCTGGTACCACGTTTCTATCTTAAATAAACCATCCACATCTGTATCTTATTTCTTCTTCTTCTTCTTCTTCTTCTTTATACTTCACTTCCTCTAGTTATAATTTGGATTTTACCTGATGGGTGTTCGATTCTTTCTAACTTTCTTAATTTCAAACAAGGCTTTACTTGATGAGAAGAGTGGGTTTAGGTTTATTGCATGCCACAGTTTTGAGAAAAAAACGATCTTTGATCCATTATTCTACTGCTTCCTCATTGTTATGTTGGGATCGCCACCTCGTTTTTTCAAATTCAACCAGTCAATTGAGTTCCAGCAATGGAGTTGAGGAAAAGGATTGCAGCTTTTATTTCAGTAGGGAGCCAACTTTTCTTCCCTATGTGACCATTGTTGTGCACACCTTAGATTGGAGTTTGGTGAAGGAAATAAAGTTTACTGAGATCGTGAATCGGTATGGTTTATCTCATTCGTTAGAATCATTTGCAATTCTCATTGGAATATTTTTCTTATCAGGAATGCATGGCAAGGCTCGTTTCTTAATTAGAAGCATTGTGGATTACTACAGTAATTATAAGTATAGTAGCCGTTACCTTGATTTGTTTGATTTGCTGTCTTTATTGGTCAGTTTTTCGAATGGTTCTGTTAACTTGTTGGAAGCTTATCGATCTGTCATCTTGGTTTTAGCTGAGAACCTCATGTTTGAGGATGCACTCATGGCTTATTTGGAAGTTAAGAAGATTGGATTGGAAATTGATGTCAAGTTATGCAATTTCTTGCTTAAAAGTTTGGTTGATAAGAATGAGATGAAACATGCAAGGAGTTTGTTTAATGAAATGAAGAAATCAGGCCCGTCGCCTAATATCTATACTTACACGATTATCATATATTTGTGTATGAAAAATGACACTTTTGAGGTGCAGGAGGCTAATAATATTTTATTGGAGATGGAGAGGAATGGTGTGAGACCAAATGAAGTTACCTATGCTACATATATTCGAGGCCTTTGTATTGTCGGAGATGTAGAATTCGCTTGGGACTTTCTCCAGGACTTGAAGCGTAGACGAATTTCATGTAATACTTACAGTTATAACGCCATTATTTACGGCTTCTCTTCTAATGGCAATTTAGAGAAATCTCTAATGGTATTTAATGCAATGAAGGAATTTGGAATTCATCCTGATCTTCATAGTTATAGCATTTTGATAGACGCATTATGCAAAAAGGGTTGCATTGCAGAAGTCAACAACTTGTTTACAGAAATGATAAACAACAGAATTATGCCTACCATTGTTAGCTATAGTTCACTTTTATATGGTTTATGTTCATCTGGTAAAGTTAAAGATGCGTGCTTAATTTTTAATCAGCTACGAGAACACGGACATGCATTCGACCTCATCGCATATAGTATCCTTACTGATGGATGCTCTCGAAATGGAGATATAAATGGTGCTCTGATGCTATGGGGGGACATGATGAAAAGGAATCAGGCTCCTGATGTTTATTATTACACCATTCTTGTTCATAGTTACTGTAGAATTGGATTCATGGAAGAGGCACTCGTTCTTTTCAGAAGCATGTGCTGTGATGGTGTGATGCCCACTATTGTTACTTGCACTTTAATCATTGACGGGTTTCTCAGAGAAGGATTCATAGTAGAAGCATTGAAGTTTTTGAATGACATGGATGAGCTTGGAATTGTTCCAAACTTGTATACATTTACCGTTATTATTAATGCCTTTTGCAAAGCACAATTGGACGGTGTGGCGTGGGGGTATTTTGGAGCGGTGATAAAGAGAGGCTTCGCTCCTGATGTTGTTTTGTATAGCACCCTTATTGATGGACTTGTTAGTAAATCAAGCTTGGAACAAGCTTTGAAGCTCTTCGGTAAAGTGATGAAGGAAGGTGTTGCTCCAAATATTTTCACGTATACAAGCCTTATAAGTGGACTCTGTCGTGAAGGTAGCTTTCATAGAGCGTGGTTTTTGTTCAAAGATATGGTTAAGAACGGATTGGTTCCTGATAGGATTGTTTATACATCCCTGATATCAGGTTATTGTAAGCATAAGAATATGATGAAAGCAGAGGAAGTTATTAGAACAATGCAGGAAAATGGTTTATCAGCAGATGTTTATTTATACAATTGCCTGATTGATGGATACAGTAATCTGTTTCTAATGGATGCTGCTATATTAAAAATGGATAGAATGATCCAATGTGGTCTTGTCCCTGATGTTGTCACTTATACTATTCTCATTAATGGATACTGCAGGATGGGTGATAAAGATAAAGCACAGAATATGTTTATGTTAATGTTGAAACAAGGGATATTACCAGATACTCTGTGTTATTTGTCATTAGGCTTGGATAATTGCTTAGAGGATAAAGGTTGAGTGCTGAAAGGATTTTTTTCTTTGGCTGCTACTGTCAAATGATTGCGTACTTCTCCATCAATCTTCTCCAGCTATTCATGCATTGATTCACTCGTAAGTTCATCTCTTTATTTTTACTGGCTCAAATAGAAGCTATGTTGGTATAAAAGTTTAAGGGATATGATATTAGTGAGTTGACTTACACATGCGCCATTGTGTATTACAAGCCAAACCCGACTAAGGTCAAAGTCAGCAGCGGGCATTGAGGTAAATTTAACGTGGATCAACTATAATCGAAGTTGCTTAAACTTTGTAAATGTGAGCTAGGTGTCAAAGCTTTGAAGAAAGGAGGGCAACGCAGTTAATTCAATTGAAAACTGTGATGAGGACCAATGGATGCAACAATGCACAAATTAGGTAGAATTCACTTTAATCATCATCTAAGCTATTCAAATTATGTCTGTTAGCAAAACAGATTGTACTAAGTTGTCCATAGCATCAAAATTGCCTATATAGGCATCTTTTATAATCGATTCGTTCAATTATGATGAAAATGATAGACCACGGATGCGACATAGCATAAAATGGGCTTGAATTTTCTTGATTGTTTTAGAAATCGTTCAAACATTGTTCGTTCAAAAATGAATAGCACACATATTGAAATATGTGAAAAAACATTACCTAGCTTTTAGCTTGTAATATCAATACAAAATTTAAAGCGACATGTGAATCAATGTGCATGAAAGATAGCGTTGCATAAGGAGCAATTAATATACACAGATGTCTTAGTTATGTGTGTATATATAATCAATGTAATATGAATGCTAACATCAATATTAATAGTCATATTGATATAAAAAATACATGTTTTTTTACCAAAATTAAATCTAGGGGCTCTTAACAACACCAAATGTAGCACCTATCCCTTATCGCCACTGCACCTGTCCCATCCCCACTAGTGAAAAAAAGTAGTTAAAACTATACCCTAGTTTACCAACTGTAATCACAGGTAGTACATTAAATCCTACTTTCCACTCGCACACGGACTACTGTCTCCATTTCACCCTTTTTTTTGTGGTTTTTTCACATAAAATTATTCTGGTACTCATCCTTTTCATCTCGCCAAGCATATAAACTCCAGTTTTTTTAAATTTCTTCTCTCAACTTCTTGGCTTCATAGAACCTCCCACCCCATGTATTTCACATACACCTGAAAACTCTCAGTTTCTCTTCTCCCTTTTGATTTGTCTTGCTTGCCCAATTCTCTTTCTTGATTTGCATACACAATCGAGTCTAGCCCGTCTTCCATTGCCACGATCTAATCACACCCTTACTGGCTTGTCTTTTCCCTGACATAATTGCTTCTCGTCTCCTTCCTGAACCACCGCAGGCACCATTAACCCTCTCCAAGGTCAAGCACATCAAGCACCGTTCACCTTGACAATCTCTGTCAATTCCCTTGCATAGCCCTCAAGCTACTAGCCTATTCTCTAACCTGTACTCAGTCTACAAATCAGAGTATCTACTCTCAGCTTACCAAGCTTCCACAATTTCAACACTGCTGTCAATCTCTAAAACTCTCTAAACAGCTGCATTGCTTTCAATATATCCATTTCTAGCATTATCTCTCTAAATAGAGAGATCATATTTTATCACTAAATTCTTAGTTCTCTCTAAAAAAGAAAAAATATCGAGAATGAAAATAAAATAAAAGGAGAAAGTAAAGTGAGCTTATGTTTAGCTTCATTGCTAGACTCATTACCCATTGAAACATTAATCATTTGGCATGCAAAAATATAACGATAAAGATATTGTTATCACATTGTAAATTTTTAGTACTCGATTTCATTATCATGACTCAATTGGAAAAAAATGTGTATAAATGGTCATGCATGTATTTGAAGTCGGTTGCATATTTTTCTTAAGCATGGCCAACCCCACTTAGGAGGATAAAAGCTTGTTGTTGTTGTATGTATGTTGACTTATGTGTAGGCTCCTAAAGCCTATTGATGATTCTTAAGCTTTGTGGGCTAAACAGTTGAGCTGACCATGTTGACTCAGCATGCTTTTTTAGCCTCTTGCACGTTTTTTTAATCCCCAGCCGCGTGGTCACAAAACATTGATCATACATGTTTTTTAAGCTTTGTGGGAAGGCCTACCACTTCCTATAGATACCCCATTCATGAGAGATACATCAAGAGGCTGCCAAAATTATGATTAGAGTTGGTAAAATATAATAAAATAAACAATAAATTTATTGTTTGAAATACAACTAAATGAAAAATAAATTGCGAAAAGATTGATAAAATTGAAAGCAAATTGGATTTTTATGGATTACAAGAGACATTTTATTTGCCAGGGACGAGCAGAACCTCGTTGTACTCAAATTTTTTAAAACACAAAAAATATAATTCAGAATTGAATAAAAATGAATTAAATATCCCTCCTATTTATAAGCAGGAAATTTTTTTTTGTGAGGCTTATTTAAGTAAAATAAATCATATGTTGTGAATCATGTTTCAAACAAAAGCCAAAATATAAAATTACATCCAATAAAAAAAATTACATCTAATCTATGATACAAAATAACTTCCAATTTGCTAAGCTCTATCACCCGATCCACAGTACATTCTTGCAAGCAGCATAGTTAGGTCATTAGGGGCTCAAAAGGGAAATTACTCACTTCTTAATGACAATTATTTGCTCAAATACTCAAAACATAGATAATTTACATGCATGACGAATCTTTAATTGTTTAAAAAACATACAACTGCATCGAGTGCTTGTGTTATTAAAGTGCAAAAAAAAAAAAAAATGCAAGTGAGTTGTGCAGGTGGATTGAGATGCATGCATGTCATCAAAATTAAAGCTTTACATGTGATCGAGCCAATGCGGTGACTACTTAATTATTATGTCTAGGAATGCTTTGCAAGTTAAACATGATCAGACAAACATATAAGTGCACACATTTCACATAAGTAGGCATTAAATTTGAATTTAAGATTATTTTTAGCCTGCCCAACATGATCATAGTTTATGTTTACGTGTTCATCACATTGGACGAAGCACATATAGGCTTTAATTTTGATGATATGCTCTCTATTGAAAAATAAACTTTGGGAGGAAAACTACTTGCTTTTATTATTACACATAAGGTACATATATAGGGAAATTGTTCCCTCCTAATTTACAAACTTATTAAATATATCTAATTTAAATTTGGAAAGGAAATAATTCCGAAATAAACATGAAGAAATATAAATAGAAAGCGTTCAAAACCAATGAAGGGGTTTCCAAAGTTGTCTCCAATTAAATTCTCTAATATCTTTAATGTGGCTAGTCGACAAACCATGAAAAAGATGTTGGAACCTTCCTAACTTTTCACACTCACTTCAAGTTTAGTCATAGATCTTGTACTTGGTATTGAACTCTAAGAAGGTGCTTAAAGGAAGAGTTTTGGTGAAAACATCAACAACTTATTGGTGTGCCAAGATGTAGTTTAGCTATATAATTTCGTTATTAACCTTTCCAAAGATAAATTGTCGTTTAATTTCAATATGTTTGGACATGTCATGATGCTATGAATTCTGGGCACTACTGATGAATACTTGATTGCCACAAAACATCTATACAGTTCTATTGGAGGTATACTCCAATTCTCTTAAAAGTTTCTGAATATCCCTTCACATATTCTCAAGGTGAGTACCCCTATAATGTGATTCTGCACTATTTTTAGAAACAATAGCTTGCTTCTTATTTCTCCATATCACCAGATTTTCATATACATAATAACAGTAACTTGTGGTGGATCTTTTGTCAGTAATTTCCTAGCCCAACTTGCATCGATGTAGATTTCTATCTCTCTATTTTTGGTTTTCTTAAAAATTAATTTATAACCAGGAGTCTTCTTAAGAAACTTTAGAATCCTGTATATCATCTCCAAATGCTATTCATTTGTCTTATTCATGTGTTGGCTTACAATGCTGATAGAGTATGTAATATGTGACTTAGTATGTGACATGTAGATGAGTTTTCCTATTAATATTTGATATCTTCTTTTATCCACATATATTTTCTCCCCTATTAGATTTATTGTTGGGATCCATTGGAGTATCAGTTGATCTGCATCTAATCATCCATATCTGTTTTAGTAGATCTATGATGTATATCCTTTGTAATATAAGGATATCTTTATTGGACCTTGTTATATTCATACTTAGACAATATTTCATGGATTATTGGCTCTTGATTTCAAACTCATTGACAAGCTATTATTTGATTTTAAAAATTTATTTTTCATCATCACCAGTAAGAATTCATATCATCCACATATACTATTAGGGCGTCAATCTTACATCTCTGATTGTTTTTTATGAATAATGTATGATCAAATTGATCTTGAAAATATCCATTAAAATCTCATAGTTTTAGGAAATCTTTCAAACTATGCCCTTGTTGATTGCTTAAGCCCATAGAGAGACTTCTTGAGTTTACATATTATGTGTTTATTGAAAACATTTTTAAGTCTTGGTGGCATCTCCATGTACACTTCTTCCAGATCATCACTTAGGAAGACATTTTTTTAATGTAAAGTTGACGTAGTTCTCATTCCGTTTTAACTGCTACTGAAATGGAAACTTTAATAACGTTCAGTTTAGCAATTGTGCGAAGATCTCATGATAGTCAATCCCATAGTTTTGAGGGAAACTGTTTGCAATCAATCTGGTTTTGAATCTCTCAATACCCCATCAACTTGGTATTTGATATTGAATACCCATTTGCATCCAACTGGTTTCTTATCTCGAGGGATTTATTAAGATTCCGCATGTCATTATTCTTTAGTGCTTGAATTTCCTTTTTAATTGCTTCCTTTGTTCTGAATTTTCAAGAGCTTCATCAATGGATTTAGGAATCTACACATTATCTTGGTTGGACAAAAAATATCTATAAGATGAGGATAGACTCCCATAAACTACATACTTCTGAATTGGGTGTCTAGTACAGTTTTTCTTGTCATCAACGCCTGAAGAGGAATGATGTAACTTTTGAGTATTGGATTTCTCACCTGAAATTTCAGGTGATTGTGGACGCGAGTATTGGTTGGAGTAGTTATGTCTTTGTAAGTTGGATTCCACTCACTCAAGATTTTTCTTCATCTTTGTGTCACACACAACTCTTTGTTATGGACTTCAAGCTGGGTTGGATGGACTTCCTCAACAATTATAGGAGGGTTAGGTGGAAGTGTAGGTTATGAGGCCATGTAGGTGTCATCAAGTGACCCTAAAATTGATGTTCATTTGCACTCTCCCCCTGAACATCAGATTTGGGATATAATTTTTAAAAAATATGACATCCATGGAGTTGTACTATTTTCTGGTAACAGATAAATAACAGTTATTTCCTTTTTTGTTGGAGGCATATCCAAGGCAAATACACTTGATTGGTTTAAAGTCAAGTTTTGTGCGATTTGGGGAATAGATGTGAACAAAAGGATTCACACCCAAAGATTTTAATTGGTTAAATTATATATAACTTTTACTTGAAGTGTTAACATTTTTTTTTATTTTGAATTATTAATTAAAGTTTATTTTTATCTTAAGTTCATTTGCTTATTATTTATTCACTTGAACTCAAAGCTGGGGTTGTTATGAGCATTTCAGTGATTTGGTTTTGAGTTAATAATGGATTAATAAGAAGTAATATGAATATTAAATAGATTTATTTGTATTTATGTCATAGATGTTATGGAAGGTACACTGGCGTTTTCAAATAACATAAAAAGTGACCAACTAATTTGATAAAATTTGTAAAATTTGATGGGATTTTGTTTTTCATGAATGTAGGCATTATTTCTTTATGACTCGTATTTCTGCTTTCAATTTTATCTGATATCTGCAATGTATGGAATTGTTTTCTGTGGTATTAATATTCATATCTAAACTGTTTAAAGCATTAAATTTCTCCTTGTTGAGGTCAGTTATGACTGAAGTGCATGCTATGCGTGGTACTAATTTGCGTTGGAAATTTTATTTCTATTGTTGCAGATGTGGAAGAGTAGAATTTTGCTGAAGACAACGGACTGCAGCAGGCCAGGGGACTAATGCATTAAATTATCGGAATTTTTTTTGCTGGAGTGAAAACTATCAGAAATTGACATCATTGAGGTTTTGTAGTCTTTCTCTGCATTATATATATATATATATAATATATATATATATTTTAACTTTTCACATGCTTTTGTGCATTGCAAATACTGTTGCTGAATTATTTTCTGTTGAGAGGATTTTTGGATTATTAATCTTTTTTTGCAGTATATTTTCATTCATTGTTATTCTTTTTTATTAGTGACTTTTAGTATAATCATTTTGCTTTTAAAAGCCTTTATTGCATTTTTTACTTCAATAAAAAATGCTCCATGAAAGCATTGCAGAACAAAGATCAGGAGAAAGACAAAAAGCAGTTCTTCTGCTTAACAAAAAAGAACAGTTACCATAGGAATATTTGGTGGTTGGTCAATAAGAAGTCTAGGAGGGCTGAGTTTCAAACATTTTTATGGCATTAGTGCAAAATTCATTTGGCAAATTACCATTGCTTGTTTTCTTTCTCTTTTATTGGCTTTTCTGAAAAATGGTATTATTAAAGTGCTCTGAAGTAAACTTCGGAAGAGTGGGTATTCTTTAATTAGATATGCTCATAAAGAACATGCCTTTGTATAGAAAAGTAGGCGCTATTCAGAAAAGCTAAGTTTGATGCTGTTAGTTAAGCAATCTTTTTTTTTTCCTTTTACTTTTTTCTGTGTTTGATTTTTTCTATTTTTTCTGGTAAATTCTATGCTCATGCTCATTTGTGATCTTTTCTCTTCTTATTCTCGGGTATTAATCATTTAGTACAGTTGTTTGTTAGTATTCTTTTGGTTTTGTAAATTTCTTTTGGTTTTGTAAATTTCTTTATATAGAAGTGTTTCTGTCTTTCTTTTTTGGGTAGTTCAACTACTATGTGTCAATCAGGAAGGATGGAAATCAGACAGTTAAATTAAGAGTTTTCTATAATAAGAAGTTTCCTTATTTCCAATATCTTTATTTTGATATATTTCCCTTTTAGCTTAATATTTAGATTAGAAATATGTATTATTAAGTTACCGAAATATGTATTATTAAGTTACATTTTGTGCCTAAAATAGATTGTAAGATTGTTATTTAATGGAATGAAAGCAAAGGGAAAAAACAATGTTATTTAATGGAAGATTGTTATTTAATGGAATGAAAGCAAAGGGAAAAAACAATCGAGCCTAGTCAATATTTAGTCTATTTTTCTTAAAACTTTGACATGGTATCAAAGCCTAAATTTTTGCCCTGATCACCGGTAGTCGTTGAAGAACAGTCAAGACTCCCTTCCCGCCGACCTTCTTGCTGGAAGGGTTGAGGGAGGTAGGAAGGTTTTTTCTACCCTACAAAACTTTCTTCCTCGCCATCGTCACTCAGATGGCTGTCTTTGCTTTCGCCGTCTCGATGGCGCGGGCAAATCTGTCATTCCGCTCGACCCTAAGTCTAATGTCTCGAAACGCTTCTTCCACTCCGCCGTTACCTCTTCCCTGCATCCTATTGGCATTGTCTCCTCCATGATTGGCGGCATCATGCGCCGTCGTCCGATACCTTATGCTTCCGTGCGACTCTTAGCTGGAGCCGGTGCTGCCAAGCTCAACCAAATACGTTGCAGAATCAATCGGTCAGGTGACTCTCCCTACTCACCTATCAACTCGGGATCTAGCAGCAGATTCAGTGACATGTCGTTGACTGAGATGGCGCCTCTGTTCCCTGGCTGCGATTATGAGCACTGACTCACCGTTATGGATAAGTCAGGCGGGGAGAACGCTACCAAAGAGCAGATGATCGATTGCTATGTCAAAACCCTAGCCAAGGTCGTTGGAAGTGAGGAGGAAGCGATAAAGAAAACCTACTTTGACCGCATGGAGACGCTGTCATGGATTTCTTCTACTTTGACTGCATGGCGTAAAAAGTTGGGAACAAATCGTCATCGTCGTCGCGGGAAGAATCAATAGCATTTGGATCATATAACAGAACGCGGATACTACTTGTAGGCTAGGATCGATAGCATCTAGATCGTGTAACTGGATTCTATTTGTGGGTTATGATAGCATTTGGATCAGGACGCGGATCCTAGTTGTAGGCTATAATCGATAGCATCTGGATCGTGTCATTGGAAGCAGATCCTTCTTGTGGCTATTATTCAAATTTCTGGACGACAATGATAAAGGATTTCTTGCTTTTCTTTGCTCGAGTCAATGTATGGTTCAGGAGTTGTCTCTCAGGCTTCGACACTCTTAGGCTTCGACACTCTCAGGCTTCGGCCTCTTGTGTTTCAGCACTTTCAGGCTTCGGTCTTTTGGGCTTCGACATTTTCAAACATCAGCACTTTTGGGCTTCGGCACTGTTGGGCTTCGGCATTGTTGGGCTTCGACACTTTTGGGCTTCGGCACTTTTGGGCTTCGACATTGTTAGGCTTCGACACTCTCAGGTTTCGGCCTTTTCGGGCTTCTACATTTTTAGGCTTCGGCACTTTCAGATTTCAAGCTTCGACACTTTTGGGCTTTAACTTTTTTAGGTTTCGGCACTTACGACTTGAGGATTTTTTATTCCGACAATGTTATCAGCTTGTTGGCAAATTGATGCTTTGTGATCAGTCATCATCAATTTGAGGGGGGATATCAATCAGAAAGGATGGAAATCATATAGCTAAATTAAGAGTTTTCTATAATTAGAAGCTTCCTTATTTCCAATATCTTTCTTCTGATATATTTCCCTTTAGTTGAATATTTAGATTATGAATATGTATTATTAAATTACCTAAAATAGATTATACGCACTTTATTTTGTACTTAAAATAGATTGTAAGATTGTTATTTAATGGAATGAAAGCAAAGGGAAAAGGCAATCAAGCCTATTCAGTATTCAACCTATTTTCCTCAAAACTTTGACACTATGACATGCAATTGGAACTGGCCTTATTTACTGAATATATAGTTCTTAAGTCTTTGCTTTACTGGCTTTGATTATTTTTGTGCTACATGTGCTTTTTGATGCCCTTTTTTTTTGCATTTTTCTGTACATATGGTTTGGTGCATAATTTGGGTGCACGACTTTACAAAGCAAAGTTATTTAACTTGTGTGTTAATTTAGTCTTGCTTTGCGCTTGATTCCTTTAATTGGCCTGCATCTTGACAGTTCACACATTTATTTATTTATTTATTTACACCTGGTTTGACATGGATATAATTTTTCTTCTTGTTTGAGAGCATTTTTCATTATTATGATTTCTCATTGAAGGAGGGGGAGGAGGCTATAACTCCACATGGAGAAATCCGCCCACCCAAGTTGGATCTTAGGATACTTAATCAATAACGAATAATCAGATTTTATTTATTATCTGTTGGAAAAGAGATACATGGAAAACTAATTCGAGAGATTCGAAACAGAACTTAGAACATAATTGTGCAAAACAATAAATCACATAAAATACAAAGAACACCAAGATTTAACGTGAAAAATTCGATAACGGAAAAAAACTACGGAGTCACACCACGCCAAGAAATCTATTATGAAAAATGAGGAGAATTGTACAAATTATACCACACTCAAGCCTCTCCAATTTTTTAGAACTCAAGAACACTCATTTTGTCCTTAGCACTAGAGAAATTGAAATCCAACTTCAATACTGAGATCACACAGCGATGACGTAATTTTAGGCCTTGAACTGTCTGAATAAGGTTACTGGCGTTGGGTCACCGTGATTTGGCATTTTGACGCCCCTCTAGGTGTTGGGGTGTCAAGCGCTCTATTATGGACCTGTATATGAACCAATATGTTGGGTGTTGGGGCGCCCCCTCCCGGCGCAGGAGTGTTGAGCGCTTGGATTCCAAGTGCTAGGACGTTGTGGCGCTCGATATGGGAAAAATTTTTTTTTTTGGGGTAGCTCATGGGGTCACCCCCGAGCAAACTCTCTGACGGTTATTATGCCATTCATGTACCCAATGATCACGAGCCCAAGGGCTGATTGCGCTGAGTTTGCCCCCTTGTACCTCCCGAGCAAACTCAGCGCAATCATATCTTAGGCTCGTGATCATTGGGTATGTGAATGTTATAATAACCGTCAGGGGCAACTCATGGGGTCACCCCCTCGTACCCCCCGAGCAAACTCACCGTCAAGCTTGATCAACAAAATTGAGAGCTTTGAGTGACCAATTAATCAACACAATCATACTCCACATCATAACACCATCAATCAATGATAATCTCTTTAATTACTAGTCATCAATCCTAATTCATAGAAATAGGATTGCATGGATAAGAAGAAAAAATTAATTCAAATCTAATCATATTTTGAGTCTAAGTCAATTTATCCGAAGGTTCAAAACATGCTTTATCCACCTATATTAATTAAAACAATTAAAAATAAATTAAAGTAATAAGAAATCTTCCATAATTAAATATTGTACTTAAAAGGTTTAATATTAGTTTGGTTCAACTTTATTTTAGCTTATTTCTTTTGTTTTTATTCGGCCTATAGAAATTTATTTTTTTCCTTGGTTCATTTGGCTAAATCTTTATTGCATCAAAGTATAGATATGAATAGCAATAGCCTTAGGCTTTGCTTCGCACTTTTCACTTCACCTTAGTTATCATATGGCTGCATGAAAATGGGATACATGCTTTAAGAAATAGTGATTTCAGTTTCACTCATTTTTACTTTAAAATTAAAATCATTGCATCTGAGAATTTTGAGATCTGTCGAGTTTGAGCAAATATTGATTTCTTTGTACAATCAAATAGTGTAATTATCAAATTTATTATTTTTTAAAAGGGGTATTTACGTATATATTACAAAGTTCTTATGTATTTACATATCTAACGCCTGAACTTTCATACATAACGCTAATCTTTAATATCACGTGAAGAATATGATTACTAACGTTTTAAAAGTGAAGTACACTTTTTCATGCATAGGTTCGTGACACCAAGCCTTATAAATGTAAATATCAAAATTTAGGTGTTTGATATGTAAATATAAAGGAATTGTGTGGTATGCATGTAAAATTTTACTTTTTAAAATATATTTTCTAATTTCAAGCGACCAAACACTGAGAAGATCTTATTATTGTTTGGTCTGTAAAATTTTCGGAACATTTACATGTTACGTCATCTGAGTATTGTCTATGTTAGCTGTTAAAGTATTTGCAGAAATATCCTTTCGTTTTGTTTGATGCGTGATTGCAACTGCATATTTCCTCATCTGCAACTATTTCCCTGTTTTCAGCATCCATGCTGTGGTTGATTTGGGCTTCTATTAAGCTTTTTCAGCAAATACTACAAATCAGCTCACCATGCAGTATCTTTGAAGGACGATTGGTGATGAATATGGTTAGTGTTACTGGGGAAGAGAGACACAGAATGAGTTATTATTATATTAGTGGAAGATTTACATACATACCACTCAAATCCTCTGCATTTACATATCTAACAACTAAACTTCAATTTTTACATGCATGCCACCTTTCCTATGTATGAAAAAAGTGCTTTTTTTTTTAGTAGTTAAAGTGATTCTATTTTTTTATGTGATATGAAAGATCGGAGTGATGAATGTAAAAACTAAGGTTTAGGTTTTGCAGGAGAGTGAGTTGCATGTTATACGTGTATAATTTTTAATCAGGAATATAGCGTGGGCCCGGTGAACTGAGGAGCATTGAATGCAGGAATGTGTTGTCTGGATGGAATGAGGTTTGGATTCTGGAACAAGAGGAGCTGCAGAAGTTGGAGGATATTCTTACAATGATTGTTGATGATGGTGCAATCACATGATAGAATGGATGGCGACAGCTTGTATATTTCATGGTAATGTGTAAATTAAATAAATGATTTTTGTTGAGATTGTGTGCAAAATGTCAACCTTAATATAAATATAACGTTATATTGTTTCACCCTAAACTCTAAAACCAAAAAACTATCCGCATTGATCTTAGTGTTATCAAGTCTTAAGCCAATATGATTGACTCTCTCCTCTTTTGTTTTTTTTTTCATTGATTTTTGTAATTGGGCATGTTTTGCACAGGATGTTTAAAGTTAATAATAGCATTTAATTTTTGCATGATATTGTCTACATTGTTTCCCATTTTAAAGCGATCATTTTTACAAGTATTTTATTTCTTTTTGAAGATGCATTGTGCTTTAGACAATTTCTTAAAATCTCTGGTCTGCTTGGAAGGATAAAGGATTATAGAGTATGTTTAATATTGTAGGTTATGATAATGAATTTTTTCTCTGATCCGAGTTGACAGAATTATATCATCTCATTGCACCATCTCCTCTATAAATTATATCATCTCTCATAGGAAATTATTTTATGAATAAAACAGAATTGTTTACTATTCATTTCTTTTTGTCTCTCTATCTGATCTTATTTACACTATTTTTTGGGTGTGTTTCATTGACAAATCTAGATTATATATATATATAGACACACATTAAATAAAGTAAAAAAAAAAAAAACTACTAATCAACGTGTTCATCAACATCTTCATTATTGTTATCACTATCATTATTTTCATTATCATCCTGAAATCCATTTAGAATACTATATTGTCACAGCTCTGTCAACATGGATTGCGTGACTTCTCCGACCTCCTGCCATGTATTCGGTTGATCTTAACACTGTCTATAGCTCTCTTTTAGTGCTTTTCATGTCAATTGTTATCAGCTTCTATGCTTAAAATAACCTCCAAGGTGATATATGTGGCCCTTGGTATTTGATAAGCCTCTTATGGGTTATAGCTTTCATCCATATATCAAGGTCAAATTCTTCTTTGGTTGCACCTCCATATCTTATTTTAAGATTATAGTCATCTTATATTTTTCTGCATAAAATCAATTATGTGAAGTACATTAATATTTAATTTCTTCTGGCTTACATTTCCTTATTGGTCCTCTCATAAATCTCAAATTCTGTTGGTGCTTGCTTCTTTAGTTATCATAATAAGGAAAAAATATTATGTTCGAACTTGTCACATTATGAGATAAATCGAAGAAATGAGAAAGGAAGAAGGGGCAAAGGAGCATAGAAAACTTCAGGAAGAAAGAAATGTAATATTTTATGTTATATCTCTATCACATAGACCACAACTTGTATTCAAAAGATGTTTGACACAAAGGTATTCCTGTCACCATACATCAGATATACTAAAGCCTTAAATGCATAGAAAGTCCTAACCACTAATACAATGGTTTGAGACACAATTCTGGAGGAGAGCAATCACAGAAACGCCCAGGAAGGCGACTTTGAATCAAAGTGGATCTGATCTCTTTTACAGACAACAATGTGGGTCGTGTGTCGCACCGTATTGTGTATACAGCGTCGTGATATAATTCACTTCATCATCCGCAGGTTCGGATGATGGTCATAATATTCTCCATAATAATTAGATGCTCATTTTCATATTTTTATATTCACAATAATTCAAAACTTAAATGTTCTTAAAATATCTTGTGATGCTCCCACTCGTTGCAATTTCTTGTGAATTCTTTTTATTAGAGATGAATCATGTCATCACAATTGTAAATGATAAAACCATTATTGTTATAACTACTTTTATTATTATTTAATGATAGCAAGGTTAACTCTATTATTTTGTATTTGACTTGATGTGAAAAATAGATTTGCAGAAAATAATATTGAAATTAATAAACCTTGTATTAGAAAAATGAATTAACAGTGAGACATCTGTTCCAAATAATAGATTATTATTTTTTTAATGAAAATGCAATACAAGTTCTAAAATAAATTTACACTACAATTTGTTTGGACCATAAGATAATACTCAACGTTATTATGCATCAGATATTTCTCACATAAATTTTTTGGAGGCATTTACAGACACTTCCAGAACGAGGCGGTGCAACTGTTTGTATGTAAAAATTGAATTTTGGTTGTTAGATAGGTAAATACATAGGAATTTGAGTGGCATGTATATAAATCTTTCTATGACTAAAAAATCAAGCAATTAACAAAATCAAAATCCAATGTTGATTCTGTAAATACCCCAACCATAGCATATTACCATCCATTAAATGAGCTTCTTTTAAAAAAAGCTCCCATTTCCAGATGAAACAAAAGTTAAGGCATAAGACAGTCACCTTGCCCGTACTCTTTCAATTTCATGAGCCCAGTTAATCCATCAATAGTTTCATATATGCACTCAGCATCAACATGAGACCCATCAGAGGCAAGAAACTCATGCAACACACCATTCAGCTCCAGCCAACTGCATCCTGCAACTTTCTCCACCTTCCTTCCCCTCATCGCCATCCTCATCCTCGCCGCTTCCTTCCACCTCTTCGATGCAGAATACATGTTGGCCAAGAACAGGTATCCGCCGCTCTGCTCCGGTCTCATTCCAACTATATGCTTTCCCACCTTCTCCCCCAAATCCAAATCTCCATGAGTCATACAGGCACCAAATAAAGCTCCCCAGATGCTAACATTTGGTTCTATAGGCATGCTTTTAATAAAACACAATGCCTCTTCCAAATGCCCTGCTCTACCTAAGAGATCCACCATGCAGCCATAATGCTCTAACTTCGGCTTTATTCCATAAACTTTCAGCATCCTATCGAAATATCTTTTACCTTCCTGCACAAGCCCACTGTGGCAACAAGCACCTAGAACACCTAAGAAGGTGACCTCATTGGGCTGAACTCCTTGCAGCAACATTTGAGAGAAAAGATGAAGACACTGCGAGCCATGCCCGTGCATTGCCAATCCATTAATCAAGGCAGTCCAAGAGTATGCATCTTTGTTTTGCAATCTATGAAACACGGAGAGAGCGTCATCAATCCGTCCACACTTCGCATACATATCGATCAATGAACCTCCCACAACAAAGTTCAATTCCATGCCAATTCTGTTCATGTAGCTATGAATCCATATACCCTGTTCCACTGCTCCCAGATGAGCACAGGAGATCAAAACGCTTGAGAGAGTGAGTTGATTTGGATCAGGACCTTCCACAAGCATGCTGTGGAAAATTGCCAAAGCTTCTCTGAATCTGTTGGATTGGACATGGCCAGATATCAGAGAGGTCCAAGTTACCACATTTCTTACCGGCATTTGATCAAATGCTTTTCTTGCATCATCGCAGCAGCCGCACTTAGCATACATATCAACAAGAGCAGAGCCAACAAAGATGTCTCTTTTCACCCTCCCACATTCCACATAAAAGGCTTGGATGCTTCTCCCAAGCGAAATATTACTTGCCATTGTGCTGCCATTGAGTACGCTGACAATTATCACCTGGTCAATTTCTAACCCCAAAGATCTCATCTTGATGAAGTAATCCAAACCAAGTTCTGGTTGATTGTTCTTTGCATGCACTTGAATCATGGCATTCCAAGAGATGGCGTCCCTGTGCGGCATTTCATCAAAAAGCCTGCAAGCGGACTCCAACAAGCGGCCTTTGGCATAGCACCACAGGAGGGAATTCTGCACAAAAGTATCAAATTCCAGCCCGAATTTGATAATCTGGGCGTGAATCTGTATTGGATTTCCGGAGCCAGAGTTCGAGATAGATTTAAGAAGAACAGGAAAAGTGTGCTCGTTGGGAGCCAATCCATGTCGGAACATTTCGGTGAATCCACAGACGGTTGCGTCGTGCTGGGAACGCAGGGAGTAACCCTGGAGCATGGCATTCCAGAGCGAGACGTCTGGGTGTTCGATTCGGCGGAAGAGTAGAGAGGCGTGGTTGATGTCGCCGGGAAGAGAGAGCACGGCGGAACGGAGGATTCTGGCGACAGCAGTGGCATCGTCGGAGAAACCAGAGGTGATAAGGAGGGCGTGGATTTGCTTCAGAAGGGGAAGGGCTGTGCGTGATCTAAGCTTCGAGAGGGCGTGGATGATTGGAGGGGGGAGCTTCGCGGGCATTGGAGTGTGGCTTCTCCATGAAGAGCAGCAGTTTATCAGAATGAGGAATTCATGGAGGAAAGCGGGGAGAAGATTAATAGTGTAGGCTAACTCAAATCTTATTATTTATAAAAGTAGCGCCTAGTTCAAATTTTTCAACAACCAATGGCCGTTTGGGCCGGCTTATAAGTGCGACCGTATTTTTAAAAACGTCGTCTAATCATTTTGTTTGCGCGTCTTTGAAAACTCTGTCTGCCACGTTTGAGTATTTTACACTAAACGCAGGTCGAGCCGCGGGCCACGTTTTAGGATAAACTGCTTATCTTAAAACGCACAAGCTGCCCCAAACAGACCTTTAAATCGGTTTAGTTACACAATTGATTGAATCAATGGGTGTTTGGTAAAAATTAATAATGTAGGCTGAGATTTTATTGTGAATTTTGATATTTAAGTCAAATTTAAAAAAAAAAAAGAAAGAAAGAGGATGCCTAATTCTGTAAATAGCTTTTTGATGTATGTCATTTTTAATAATAATCAATAATGATTTTTTTTTTCTGTTTTATGGCTCTAGAAATAAAAAAAATGATTGAAGCTTAAAAAGAGGTTGTATCTCAAAATTTAAATTTGGAATCACAATTAAAATATTTAAGCATCTTAAATTAAAATGTTATATATTGAATTAATAAGAATATTAGTCTATTATTATTATATCATTTAAATTAAATTAGAATAATATTAATATTTATTATGTCTTTCGGTTCTAATTTAATTCTAATTGAAATATTGAACCTTGAATCCCTTCTTTTCTAGTCATAGATAGCTAGAAATGTACATTCATATTACATAATTTATATGTATACTAGAGTTGGCATAATTTAGTAATTGTAGATCTTTTTTAGTGGCGATGTTAAAACAATGGGTGATCAAGTTAATAAAAGAAGTGAATATTTTAGATATCCCGGGTCTATTGTTCAAAGTGATGATGATATAGATGGGGATGTTATAAGTTAAAAAGTGGCATTCCATTTTTAAAATTGTTATGTCTAAGAATATTTGAGGAGGTTTTTCATGGATGGGTTTATTTTCTGAGTGTTATGTGAAAATTTGACACACACAAATAAGTAGATTGTAGCACATAAGACATGACATGACCCAATTGAAATGATTTTGCTAATTAGGTTGAATTTAATGTTTGCTTTTTTTCTCTCAAGAAAAGGTAGAAATGCAATATAAGGCATTGGTTGTTCGTGCCAATCAGTGATGAATGATGATGTCAGATGAATAACAACATCGTAAGATAATGGGTATTAACAAATAATGGATATTAGTGTTGCTCGGTGGGGTCCGACGTTGGAATGTCAAAGACAATGAAAGGTGGGCATCGAAGGAGGTCTATGATGAACAACCAAGGCAACCATTAACTCATTAAGTATATATTTTTTAAAAAAGAAATTACATCTTTTTACAATCTCTGAACATTAACAAATCCAAATTATATATAAAAAAAAAAAACAGCTTCATATCATAAAAAATTCTAGTGGGTCTAAAATGCAAAGTAATAGTAATATATATATATATATATATTAATACCTATATAGAAAATATAAAATTAAACCAAAGAAGAGTGTTTTCTTGTAGAACCCTACGCACGAGCAGTGCTTCCACTCCGCAGCGAGATGCCTGGGGGTGGGAATGGATTCACCCCACCGAAGCTCTAAACCCTTCCCGATTTTGACATATGAACTTTCTCGGTTAGCAGATGTCAACTCCAATGGCCCCTGCTCCCCTTTCCACCCCTCCTCCCTCTTCTACATCCTCCCCGGCAGCAGCCGCCTCGGTCGCCGGCGCCCCATCCCAACTTCCTTCGTCCCTCTCTTTCAACTTCCTCCTTCCGCCCACACAGCCGTTGCCATCGTGCCTGCCGCCTGATCACCATCCCGAGCCGATTGTACAGGTGGGGAGGGTGCGGCTGTTTGATTTCATGCCTTACGAAGGGGCTCCGAGTGGCACTTATCTTAGGGCTGTGGAGGCCTTATGGCGGTCACTGACGAGGCACAACGCGGTCGTGATCGAGCTGGGGAATGAGGACGAAGTGGTGATGCGGTGCGCGCTGGAGTCAGCGCGGATGTTTTTCAAGGCTCGAGCGCAATGTGGGAGCGGTGGGGGAGGTGGGAACTGGGGGAAGTCGGGGCGTGGGTTCTACACTTATCGCGCTGGAAGGTAATACTACGCGAGGAAGTTGTTCCAGCTTCACCAATTCTGCACGTTTTAGTGCGTGAATTCAATTTGCGAATGACAATTGATATTGTTTTTTCTGTTTTTTTCATCGTCTTTTTCATTCGCATGTTTTAAGTTCATTAGATCTTTTGATATCAGTAGAATCAGAATTTTTTTCTTTGTTCATTTTAATCTTACTTGTGGTTCGTAATTCTATATTTTTATTTCGATCTACTTATATTATTTTGTGATTATTATATATCTTACTTATTTTGGGCTACTCATAACATTTGAGGTTTCTAAATCATCACCAGAAGTGTAATCTTTACTGCATTAAATTTTTCTGAGTGACAAATACTGAATTGTTTTCTTTGCCACATTAGCAATCATTTTCCTAGTAAAATTGCGCTAGCTTCTTTTCAATATCAGCTAAATTATTGTTCCCCTGTGAGTAACTAGAGGATGAATTCCTTATATGCCAACAATGAAATATCTGTTAAAGATCACATAGTTTAAATTATCCACTGTTTTATTTCCTTCTATTTTTCTAATAGAAACCCTTCTTGTTCCAAGCAATCTCTTGTGAAAACAACTCTATTTTTAAATGGCTTTTTTTTTTTTGTTATTTCAATTAAATTTTTCTGTATTCATTTTGTTAGCATTGCTGCTGCTATTTATTGCTCGGGAAAATCACTACTAACCTATTTTTACGGGGAATTGAAAGCATGCCATTGAGTTTAATAAATTTGAATTTTATTCTCATACAAATTCCTACTGTATTTTTTGTAATCTTTTCTACCGAAACAGTTTCAAGTTCTTTGGAATTCAATTAATTCTCTATGCCAAGGGCAACAAACTTCTAATTAAGATATAGCCAACTCAAATAGATTTGGTTTTTACTTATTTACAAAGAAAAAAGTATCAACTTTTTACTGCAGCCTATCATCACTGTCATTGCATCAGCAATAGTTTCTGTAACTGTCACAGTACTTACGATCTTTGTTCCACCTTACTTCAATTAAGATGTTACCATTTATGATTTGATAATATATTTGTAATTTGATTCCAATTTAAAGCCAGTAATTGCCATCATTTGACCGTGTCATTGTATCAATAGATATTATGCAAATAATCTTTTTACCCTTCCGGTAAGCTGAGTTCTTGGAATGAAAAAAAAAAAAGATAGTGATATTTCTTCCAGAATCATGAATTAATGTTTATTTAAAGAAAAGTTATCCATTTTGTCACTTTCTCATATCTTTTTTCTTAAAATACTAAAGTAGTGTGCATTGAAGTAGCCAGTGACACATAGGCATAATATCTGAATCACAGATGGCCTGACATAATTTTGAATTTGAATTCAGACGGATTTAAAAGCTTTTTATCACTTCATGTTATTACATTTAAGCTTACATATGGTACTTGTCACAAATTAAATATAATTATCTAAATTAATATGTAACAATCACATCATACGTGCCATTATTTTCAAATTCATTTTTTTATTCCTTTAATTTTGATCTGGGAAAAGCCTCAGTCATAGAAGAAATCTAAAAAAAAAAAGGGTGTTGTGGCTCAAGAAGGCAGCTCAATAAAAAAGGTTGTGCTGCATATCCACCTAGGTTTGTGGCTTTCCGTTTTGGCTTGTATCACAAGGCCCAAAAATTCCAACATTCTGGAATAGTTTTTTGGGAGTAAAGCATTACTTATCATCTGTTCTGCAACTTTAAGTCTAGATGTTGTTGCCTAGTTATTGTCAGGTGAAATAAAATAACCAATATATCTTAGAACTAGGATTTTAACTGGTTATGTTTTCTGGCAGATGCTTGAAAGAAGTGTATGCTTAGCTATTTTATTTTATCATGTATTATTCAGGGCTTGTACAGTTGTACCTAAGGTATCAATCCAATTGGACCATATTGACTAGGTATTTCATTAAGAATGTTTATAAACTGGTATTGAAGATATGCACCTTCTAATGTGGATATTTGTAAACCCTAATGTTTTTACTTGATGAGTGTTATCCCTGACCTCAAGATTTTGGTTACTTTCCACTTCCATTTTGCTTATTTTATCCTCTTTTGTTTGTGAGGTTTATAATATACTGATATTTTGGTTATAATGGATGTTAGAGCCTTGGAAGATGGAGACCTGTCACCTGCTTGCATGAGTGATGCTTTTAGGTGTTTGAGCAGGGTAGCTCGATCATCGCTTTCTTCAATAGCAAAACATCTTCGTCTGCGAAGCGAGTAATATTGCTATTTTATACTGGAGTTAATTTGATTAATTGCGTTTATTTTGCTTTTATTACCTGTTTCTTAACTTATAAGTTGTGGCAGTGTTTTCAACCATTTGCTTGATGATATACCATTGCCTGTCAACGAGGTCTCTTCATCAGTGTTGGTAGCAACCTATTCTCATCCCTCCTTACTGAATTGTAAGGGTTCGTTAGGAGGAAAATCTTTAGTCAGTGAAGTCGAGAAAGGATTGTTAACAGTCATTGCTTCTGACCATCCTGGCATCCAGGTATGAAACCGCTGTCTTCTAACTTCTGGTAATTTTATTTTATTTTAGGGGCATTTATATACATTGCCCAGAATTCTTATGTAGTTACATATCTCACACCTAAATTTTCATATTTCACATGTAGCACCTAAATCTTTAATATCACATCAAAAGTAGCACTATTATCAGTTTTAAAAGTTAAATTCACCTTTTCATGCATAGATTTAAAGCACTGATGTGCTATTTTTGTAAGAAGGAATGAGATATGTAAATACATAAAAATTCTGTGCTACGAATATAAATTTCCCTTGATTTTATTTTGTTTTGATATGAGCTAGTCCCCTAACTATTGGTTTTTTAATAGTAATGCACACATCTCTGTAGAAGGTTGTTGTTGTTGTACATTTTTATAATTCTTTTCTTAAGGTCAAGGAGGACTGGTGGCTACTGCTATATTGTATTTAAGCAAAATCATGGTGCTTTCATGAATATTTTGCTTCTTTTAATTGTTTAAACGATTTAATTATGTTGACAGGTTTGTGACCCAAATGGCCATTGGTACCTAGCAGATAAAGGTTCTACTCCTTCAGACTTGTTGCTACTCACTGGAAAGGCACTAAGTTATGCTACTGCTGGCCTTCGTGCTGCAGGTTCTTATAGAGTTGTTTCCGACTACAGCTCTGGTGGAAGGTTTGGATTCTTCTAGTTCTGCTTTATCAGAGCTTCTCATTCATATTGTGTTTCCAGAATATTTATTTGGCAGATTTACATACATACCACTCAATTTTTACTTATTTACATATCTCACACCTAAACTTAAATTTTTACATTCTTGCCTATGCATGAGAAGGTGTATTCCACTTTTTAAAAGTTAAAATGGCGGTATTTTTGATGTGATATGAAAAATTTAGGTGGTATAAATGTAAAATTAAAGTTTAGGTGTCATATATGAAAATGCTCAAGAATTGAGTGGTATGGATGTAAATGACCCTATTTTTTTTAGCATCTGATGAAGGTTTCCTTTGTTATTTTAGGGCATCATTGACATTTAGACTAATGCCGCAAGCCAATGCTATCCTAGACTGTTCTCGAATAGCTGCAGCTGGTCATGTGATTCCACAAGGTTACCAACCCATTTCTGTGAGCCAGTTTATGGATGACTTATCTGCAGAAGAAGATATCATGTACAACCCTTCTGATATTGCATGTGTAAGTAAATGTCAAAGTTTGTCAAGGATTCAAGACATAAAAAAATTGCTATTTTCAATTTGAATATTTTTCTTTATTTTTAAAGATTTCTCACCGGCAGCCATTAATATGTCTGATTATTTTTTTTTCATAGGAAGTTCAGAATAGCGTTGCATGTGAGCCTTCATTAAGAAGTGTCCTTTCGGATCCTTTATCGTAAGTGTTATTTTTAATTTTATTTACTTTTATTTACATTTATTTTGCATGAAATGCTTTGTGAAGGTGGTAATCGTAGAGAAATCAAAGCTTTGATTTGATTGCTCGGAAAAAGTCACCATCTTCTTCAAGCCACTTCAATCAGATGAGAATCTATAGAGTAATTTTTTTAATATAGATTGGATTTGTTTTAACTAGATTTATTATGTTCTTTGATTATTTAGATCTAGGGTTGAAGCTTCTTCTAGGCACAAGATCCCATAATTATCTTTCCCGATTCTAGGAAAATACTCTTGTAAGTTGCTTAGGCTCATTTTTTGGCCCAAATGTTGTGGTTGAGAATTTAATTGTGTGGGGAAATGATTAGGGAAATGTTGGTTAATAGTCAAGGACACACAAAGGGTGTGTTTGGGTAGACTGTGCGGTGCCACACTGTATACTATTTTGTTTGGCAGAATCACATTTTGACTGCGTTCTAAAAAGGTTGCAGCTAAAAGCTGCATTTTCCCACTAGACCTGGCTACTTGCGGTGACTGCTAGAAAGTTGCGATCTGACTTGTTCTTAAAAAAATTTTGTGATCGCCACCACAGTTTTTTGAATAACAACTTCTTCAAACAGCTACAACTGCCCCAAACAGACCATAAGACATGGTAGAGGTTTTGAATTGGATGTGCAATGAGGTTATTTGAAAATTTTTCGAAGCCCACCAATTATAAACCTTGCAAATTTATTTTTAATGGAAGTTGGATAATATATTGCAGCTAAACATTAACTGAAGGCACAAATATAACAATTAAATGATAAACGAAATGCAGAACTAAATTGTATAGGTGTAGGAGATGTGCCATGCAAATGTTTTTAGCTTGATATTAAGTGTGTGCTATTATTTGGCACACTATAATTTACTAAGCTTAAAAATATCAGAATATGCATGCAATTCATCATTTATCTTAGTCGTACAAATGACACCACACAACTCTTACTTCGATGTTGGTTTAAGATTTTAGCCATGTAAGTTATAATAATCAAACTTGATGTTAATAATTTAGTCAACTACTTGAGCTAATCAATTGCTTCACTAACATCAGTAGTTATACAAGTGTACAAAACTAAATATTCAAATGCAATTATGGTGAAATAAATAATCGGTGCCAAATGTGAGAGAATTTGTAAATTAAGCACAATTAAATAAAGTTTATATACAAAAGCACAATCACGTGCATCACAATTTAACCAATTTGATAATCAAGCACAATTAAATAAATAAGTAAATCAACAGTAAATTAAAGCAACTGGGACACTATAGTTTTACGCAGTTTGATCACCCAATTTACTAATTTTCTCACCTAAACCCACCACTGACTTTGCATTTTCATTACCTATATCTTGTTGCTATATGTTCATCAATTCTTTCATTCCGTGAATGGGTGAAAAAGTTTGTAAACCCCGTGACAATGCAAACTCAAACACCTATCCTCAAGGACTCAGCTATCCTCATTTCCAACGCAATTAGAAATTTCCTATACAAAAATTCTCTTAATTTTGTAGGTTAATAAAAAAAATTCATCTAAGAATTAACCAATCACTAAGTACAAAGTTGAAAGCAAACAATGAAAATCACTTACAAAACCTTCTAGAGATTGTGAGGATATGTTCCTCAACATCATATTCATTAAAGCCTTGGAACACTTGATCTTCAATATTTAATTTTCTTTCAAAGAGTTTTGCCAAATGATTTACTATAATAGCATTGAGCTCATGGATCCATTAGCTTTTGGAAGTGGAAGGGGTATTTATAAGTCCATAATTACTTACAACATCCCTATAGACAACTTCCAAGAAGTTGTCAAAGTAAAACTAGAAAATTTACCAATTGAATGTTATATGTATGGTTTCTAATCTTATGTATGGTCAGCTCAAATTCTAATGAATTTTGTATTGATCAGATTTATAAGTGTTAATTGTTTGTATGTATCTAAAAAGTATTTTCTGGCTTAAAGCTGCGCCAAATCTTCTCCATAACATCTGCGCAATGGCTAAACAACCATTAGTTTCCAATGACCAATGCCACATCGAATCATATCTTTGATCTCCAATCTTATATGGCTATGATGGGTCACTTAGACAATCAAGAATCATATGTACATTTGACCGGTGCATTAAAAACCCTTTGAAACTAAGTCTGATAGCTACCAAGTGAAGTCCAAGAACATATATAATGGTTTTAAAATTTTGTAAAGTATTTCTTGATCTATAGATAAATAAAATTTTTTAAAATATTATTTTTGTGCTTATAAATAATTAATGCTATGTTTTAGACTGTGTTCCCTCACTTTTGTATCAATATGGTAAATCAAACTTAAGCAATACGTAATGAATCCTGAAGACATACAATTACAAATTAAGTTAGATTTGAAGTCTTCACTTGTGTTTTATTGCCTTGGTCAATGAGCTCATCTTATAGTGACAATTGTCGGGTTTGCCTATTTATTTTCATGTTTGCTATAAAATGATTATCTTATGAGCAAGTACTTAGCAAATCATTTGATGATTTCACAAATTATGTGTTATTATTAAATTAGATGTGAGAAACGCATGAGTCATATGGACTGTAAAGCCAACAAAAGTAAACCTGATCAAGATTCCATTATTCGGTCATCTCATGTTTACTGACAATCTTTATAATCATATCATAGGGTTTTGAATCGTAATAGAGAGCTTGGTTAAAAACAATGAGTTACTTCCTCCTTTATGTCTCAAGCAAATCAGCGTGGAATTATGTGTCAGATCTATGCTTTTCTGCTTGATATCAACCTGGTCAGTAGCAATGGATTGGTTGTACCAATTTTACTAGGCAGTTCAAAGGTTCATAACATGACAATTATAGTTTAAAGGTCTACACATAACCAGCAAAAGCTCAGACATAATATGACTATCGTCCTCGAGATTCTACTTGGCGCAAAGTATATCTATGGCACATGAGATTTGATGAATTTTTTTTTATTGTTGGACTTATTTTTGTGCAAGCTAGATCATTAGAGATGGATCTTACATCCATTTCACGGCCCACGTTTTGATTTAATTGGTATATTGGCTTTTTGTTAAGCCTGATTATTCAAGTTAAGGCTTAATTTTGTTGAAAAGTTCATAAGTAGGGCCTGTAAGCTCGAGGATGAGGTAAGCTCAATAATGGCCTTATGAGTTTATCATGTAAGGTGGCCTAATTAATTAGGTTGACATGATGAGTTTGTTTGCCTTGTGCTAGCTTAGTTGACGGTGCTTACGTATATTAGAAGGTTGCACAAGCAAAAGAAACTTGAGAACAAAGAAAACCCTTAAGTTGGGTTTAGGACTTCGAGATGAGAAATGCTTAAGAATGGGTCTCATAGACTTAACCTTTATGGGCTTATTGGTTTTATGCTGACCTACTTAAGTGGATTGAAGCTCACATCATGAGAGAACCTATAACTTTGAGTTGATTTTGATGCAATCCATATTTTAAGACGTATTTTAATACCCAAATTATTATTATTGTTGTTGGATTTATCATTTTTAGTATTTTAATATAGGAGAAGAAGGCTCAAATAATTATTTCACAGGTTCTATAGTCTAAAAGAAAGTTTGAATGGTTATACATATTTTCTTGAATTTACATAATTTTCTTAGGCACTTTTCCTACCATTGAATTTAATTTCTGAATGACTTGATAAGTATAAAATGAATTTATGGCATTTTGAGCTGGTAGCAAGTCCTTTCTTGAGTTAAGAAAAATGCTTGATAAGTATAAAATGAATTTATGGCATTTTGAGCGGGTAGCATGTCCTTTCTTGAGTTAAGAAAAATGCTTATAAGGTTACTTTTATAATTATTTATTTCTCAATTGAGTTCCTTTGATGCAATCAAAAAGAGTCTCATATGATGCTTTCACATTAGCCAGCAGGTCATTGTTGTGCTTCACGTCAAATGATGCTGGATTATGGTAAATGTTTGCTGGCCTCACCTAGTTTTGTGGGAAAATAAAAGTCTACAAGTATCAGCACTTTTGTAATACTTGAATATTATTTAAAAACTTTTGAATTAGTGGCTAAACTTTTCCTAAACTTTTCCATCTATATTAATCTCATCTTGTGTGCAACCTTTTATCTACCGCAAATTACTAATATATGTATAATAGCTTTCCATTTAGTGCTGAGATGTGTTCAGAACATTATGTATAATCCCTTTAGTAAGTTGCGTGCTTAAAATAGGCCTGCATCCACCACAATCCCCATTTCAAATTTCGAACATACTACAAATAATGATAATGATATTTGACTTCACTATCATGCAAGTTACCCAAATTTTATCAAAATAATTACTTCTTTACTCGCCAACAAAACTTTGAAAGACTTCTAGAGTGAAATTTTTTATTTCATTAAACACACCCTTAGTTTCTATCTTAACCAAACCTATAAACCTTCTCAAATTTTGTTTTTAGTTCATAATGATGTGTAAAGGCCATTTAGCATAAAATTTTCTATAGGGGTAGATGAATTATTTTCTTCATCAATGATTATAGTCATCTCACTTAGACTTTCTTGTTGAGATGAAAATTCAAAGTGGAACTTTTTTTTAAACATTTATTATCATAATTTACACTCAATTTTGATCCAAAATTCAAGTCTTGAAAATGACAATGTCAAAGAATACTTTGAATCACTTGTAGAAAGTTATCTCCTACGTCAAGGAAATATTCACTAAAGCTTCTATGTTGACACACATCTCAATAAAAAAAGATGCTTAAATGAAAAATAGACATGTCTTAGATGTGACTAGATCACTAATATACTTCAATATCTTCGGGAAATTTTCCTAACAATGATGGATCTCATTAATAGAATACTTTCGGGTGTTATTAATTTTCGAAACCCTATTCAAATTCTTTTTTATTTATTTCCTATGAATAATGCAATTTCTCTTATTCCTTCAAAAATACATTCACATTCATTTTAGCACTAGAGTACATTTGACCCTAAATGTATCAACGGTATGTTCATCGGATATCATCAAAAAAAAAATGCATAAATTTTATCACTAGGTCACTAGAAAGATTTAGAGTCTGTTTGGGGTAGCTGCAACTTATTTAAAAGTTGTTGCGCAACAACCGTGCTAGAAAGTCTTCGAGCAGAGACTGATATGGGGAAGTTGTGTGTCTATTTGTTTTATGCAGTAGTTGTACTGTAGTTGTTTATAAAAAAAACCTTTCCACCTTTTTAATATCGTGTTGTTTATAACAAAATCAGTCCTGGTTACAAATTTCATACTTGAAAACAAATATCCAATTTTAATATTACATATTAAAAATTGATACCTCCCTACATAGTAAGTAATACAATAATCAAAATAAAAAATAAAACTATTAAATTAACTATTAATATTATCATACGATTGAGTTTAAAATACAAACCATTAATTTTACGATATAACCTCTCCTCTAACAAAACTCTCTAGGCTTGAACATTATCGTAGGTGGCATCATCAAACTGATTCACCCACCTAACGAAGTTACAGTTCTTTGATATGTTTCTTGGACACTTGTAAAATTGTCTCTCATAACTATGCACCTCTCGCGAAGTAAGCAGAGAACATTGTTGTTCATAGTAATAGCACAATACTTGGAGGCACATGAAGACTTGAGCTCATATTTTCTCAAGATTTAAAACCACAAAACAGAGACTCTTAGATGCAACGTTAGTAAAAAAAAAAAAAAAATAGAAATACACTACTAAAGTTTTATAAAATTGTGAAGTTTCAGAGCAGAGAGTATAAACCAACGAATAATCTGTCACTGCTACAAGAAAATAGTTTTATATTTATGCCAGCAAAATCTTTCATGTCAAATAAAAAATACCACCATTTTAAATTTTAAAAAGTGAGATGCACCTTTTAATGGATAGGTAAGGTGGTATGTATGTAAAAATTGAAGTTCAGGTGTTAGATATGTATACACATATAACTTGAGTGGTATGCATGTAAATCTTCCTTTATGTTATTTATTTATTTATTTTTATATCTTGAGAAATTGGTCTTGCCACTTTTCTTTTGTTGGCCGGTTCTGGCATGGCTTGGAATTATAGTTCTGACACAAGGCACGGTTGCTTGTGTTTAATATTATATATTCCTTGATGAAATATGTTTCGTTTTGTATTATTAGCATGGCGCGACAATCAAATTTTGTTGAAATTTATCTTGTCATTTCAAGCCATTCTGCTGCTGTAGCACTTTATTATCCTCGTAGATCTGTTTCATGTCATTCTGTTCTTGCAGCGGGGCGTTCCTTGAAGATGCTGTAGTTGTTTCTTGTGGGCATTCATTTGGTGGCCACATGCTGAAGAAAGTCTTGGAGATGGTACTTCCATATTCTTTAATTTTCGCTTGAACTGGCTCTCTGCCAATTGATATTTTTGTCCTAATGCCTTTAAATTAAAACTGCAATTGTTATTATAAACCAGAAAGTATTAATATTTTTACTATTTAATTTTTATAATCTGTCAATTTTAAATGGGAATTCAGAAGGCCCTGGAAGCGCATGAAATGAAAGGTAAATTTCTATTAAAATTTGGATTTTACAAACAGGTTTTTTGTCTTCTGGGATTGAGAATTTTCATTTATATTAATATTCAAAAACTAATTTTTTTTTCATCAAATACGTTACAAATAAATCATAAGGAACTCGTAGGTCTATATTTTGCCATGGAGGGACGCCTAGGCAGTTTCAAAAGAGAGTCTCTGATTTAGAATTTGTTTCTTATTGAAGGCATATATTTCCTTTTTTGTTTTGTAGTGGTTCACTTAGCTATTGAGCTAAGATTCTGCCTAGATAATTGTTCAGATAAAATACATAATATTTATATCAATCGCCTCATGTTTTCCACGTAGGAACAATTTTATCATACATTTATTATCATTTATCATCTTTTATAATATTCAGGCAAGATGCACTATTTGCAATGCAGAAATTGATTCTGGGTCCTTGATTCCTAATTATGGTACTTGCTTTTTTTTGTGTGTTTTTTTTTTAGCTTTCCCCCCCTTTCCAAGTTTGTAAATAATTTGTGAAAGTAATATAATCTTGACAGCTCTTAGAGCAGCAGCAGTAGCGGTGAGAAGTGAAGATGAAAGAAGATTATTTCATAATACCTCTCTCAGAAAACGTAGGAAGGAAGGGGGTGAACACATGGACCATCCAACAAAGAAACCAGGAAAGGTTGACATTTTTTCACAGATACAGTTTTAATTATAATATTGATTAGTTTTTTAATCTTTTTCCTTTTTTTTTGTCCTTTTATTCAGGAAAATGGTGAGATCGATATTGATGGTCATTCTGCCAGGCATTTAAAAGGCGTTCAGTTTCCTTTTGCAGTTAACGAGAAAGTTCTTATTAAGGTAAAATGAAGAAACTTGCTATTTACAAATCAACCACCCTCTGTCATCCAATTTTCAAATTCTCACTCAAATATCAAAATTCATGGTAAAACCCCAACCCATATTTTTCATTTTTATCAAATTCTCGATAGTTTGATTGTGGCACATGTAAATATATCGGTTCGGTAGTTAAAAAAATCACCTACGTGGTTAAAATGTAAATATCAATGTTTCGGGTGGTCTGTATGTAATTATCTCTAAAATGAAATAAAATATTGAGCTTCTCCTTCAAAACTATTGCCAGAATACAATAATTTTGAATGGGGCAAAAAAGAAAAACTTACTAACAATAATTACATATGCAGGGCAACAGGAGAACACCTGATAAGTTTGTTGGAAGGGAAGCGGTTATTACTTCACTGTGCTTGAATGGGTGGTAAGCTTTCATTGGTCTACATCTTTATTACTTATCATTTGGAGTTGTTGAAACTTACAATATAGGTGTGTGGAACATCAAAGTAGACTTGAAGTGTTAACAACCATGGTTATGCTCAATTTTTTATCAGTATGGCTTTCAAATTCATTATTTACTTTGAGATGTGTGCAATACAAATTGAATCAATCAAATTTTGTATGGCACTCATGTCAAAGAAAATCCTAAGGCATTGAGACCCATGCATTTCATTGTCAGCCATACTAATATTATCTTAAGTGTCTAATATTAAACACCATTAAATAAAATGAAATTGAACTCGTAAACATCAAGACACCTTTTGGTGTAATGGTTGACATGTCATTATAAACTCCGAAGTTAATCGAGCTCGTGCCGGAGCATTTCTGAGATGGGTGAACTCTTGGGAAGTTACACTAGTGGGCAAAACTGTGAGGACTTTAGGCCAAAGTGGAAAAAATCTTGATGATTGAGAGTTTGAGCTGTCACGTCTAATATTATAGTAGGAAACTATAGTTTTTATTATTGTAATATAATCTTATTATTGAGGATGTTTTCTTTTATTGTATTTTTCTTTATTTCTTCCTTCTCTTACATATATATAGGCACTGTTGTATCACCATATTATTTGATTCAATAATAGCCATTATAATTGTAGTTTTCTAACCATCCTGATCCATTTTGTTCCCTAAAAAATGTGGAATATTTGCATACATATCACTCAATTTCTATGTATTTACATATCTAATACCTAAACTTCAATTTTTTCATAATTGACATCTTACCCATGCATGAAAAGTTGTATTTCACTTTTTAAAGTTAAAATGGCAGTACTTTTTTATGTGATATAAAAGATTTGGGTGGTATAAATATAAAAAAGCAAAGTTTAGATGTTACATATGTAAACACATGGGAATTGGATGATATGCATGCAAAATGCCCCCAAAAATAGACTGGATAACCCTCTTAGATAGATGTGTTCGTGAAAAGTAATGTTTGCCTCAAACTAAAATTGACTGCAGGTATCTCCTCAAGATTCTCGACAGCGGAGAGAGTGTTCGACTTCAATACCGATCTCTTCAGAAACTACGAAATCTTCAAGTTGATGATGGAGCACAGCCATTAATGCTGCTTCAGAGTAACAGTTGATAGAAATCCCAGAATCTTTCTTGTTCACTCTCACACGTAATTTCTGTATTTGCCCTTGTAAATGCTGTGGTCTTATCTCCTGTAAATGCAAATGTTTGTTTTAAGGTTTTTACCCTTGAGGAAAGAGATGAAACTCAAGGGAAAGTATGGGAGTATTCAGAAAGGAAACTCAAACAGTGAGTTGGTAAGATATTTGAAGAGCTGTACAGATCGAATGAATTTCTGCAGGAGCTGAAGAAATACCTTTTGTTGTTGATATAGCCTCTGCTATAAAATATCAAATTATGTAATACAAAAACATGCAATGATGCCGAAAGGGGAGGAAGTTGGATTTATGATGTGCAGGTAGTGTTTTCTACATGTTGATCTACTTTATTTATGCTTCAATGGTCTGTTTTGTTAATATCATATTTATTAGATGGGGGATTTACATAGATGTCATTGAATTATTGTCTTTAGATACTTGGGGGCCTAAAATTTATGGGGAATTTGCATAGATTACACTTAATGCTTATGTATTTACATTTCTAGTATCTAAATTTTGGTGTAATGATATAAGCACTTCATAGCATATGTATAAAAACGAGTAAATATGGTATTAATGATGTGAGCTAGATGAATTGGGTGTTATGTAAGTAAATATCAAATTTTAATTGTTAAACATGTTAATGTATAATAATTGTATGATAGGTATATAAATTCTCTTTTTTATACTTATTTATATAATAATGTTTAATTGTCATAAAAACGGCTACTAATATTTACTTCCTAAATAGGAATACAATTTGGAAAATTTAAGATGCCACTTAATTCCTGTGTTTAAATCTTTGCATATCTCATTTTACTTGTGCATGAAAATGTGCATTTTATTTTGAAAAAATTAAAAGTGATATTTTTGGTGTAATATGAAAAACTTCGGGGGTAAAATTATAAATGCAAAAATTTAGATGTTAGATATGCAAGTAAATGTGAACTAATGACTAATTAATAATTATAAATTTAATTAAATATAGTAATTTTGATTTAATAATGCTAAACTAAAAATAGCATTAACTTTTTTAAAATAAATATCTTTTAGTAATTAATATTATTTATTTAATAATTTATCATTTTAATTGATCATATTTAATTTATATCAACCAATATCACTAATATAAAAAAAAATAAATTATAAAAAATTATTAAGATAAAAAATCAGTAGAAAGTAAACTCTGATTGTAGAAGCCTCTTAACACTCGTAATTGTACTTGTATTAAAATTATAAGATGTTGTATTATAGCTATTGTGATCAAACTCTGTTTTATAAAAAAAATTATTCTGTTGTGCTATACACAATTTGCTGTGTTGCGATCTGTCATTATAGTTTATTGGATGCCATTTCAAATCATTGTTGAACTAAGTATACTTATGTAGAATTGTTGAAGATAGAAGAATGTGATATAAATGCTAAAATAGGAATCCTTGAAGAGAAAAAAAAAACCATAATAGAAATATGCCTATTAACTAATGAACACATTATCTATTAATTTAGTTTTTCTTTTAATGTCTCTATTGGTGCCTTTTGACCAGCCTCCCCTAACATCAACTCATTATATGGGAATATGTATATATCCATGTGTAAAAGTTCTGTGTGTGTGTGTGAGCCAAAGGCCTGGCTCATTGGTGCAAATTCTGGCATAAGTCCCTTAAGTCAAGGGTTCTAATCCCGTGGCGCAAACTCTTCTAATCAGAATCAAGCACATCAGATTTTCAACCCATATGGGAATCAAAATTTGATGCGCACTGGATCAAATATCGACTTCACCTTTATATAATATATATATGTATGTATGAAAAAATAATGATATTTAAGAATTTTAAAATATGCACCATAATATTCTTATTTTTTATATTTTTCAGTCTTAAGTTAATTTTATCAATAACTTTCAAACATTTATTTAAAGAATATGAAATTAATTTAAATAAATGCTAAATATAAAATCTATCTTCCCGATCCCCTTCCCAATTTTCGTCGGCAGCCATCACCTTCCTTCCCCTCCCCCCATCTCGACGTACGAAGACTTCTGAAACTCTTATCTTTCTTCTTCAGCTCCTCTCTTACCGGAAGCGATTGAGGAAAGTAGCACTCGTATTTCTCTCCCTTTCTTCCACCCTCTTTCGCGCACCTCAGTTCATCTGAATCCTGTAAATCCGAATTTAAGGCAAAAAGGAGAAGCAAAAGGGATTTTTTAGGTTAAATCCTGCTCAAGCGGGAGAGAAATGGGGTTTGAGATTCTGAAATATTTGTAGTTAATTGAGCAATGCATGCATATAGTGCTATATTGACAAGAACTTTTGCTTAAAGATGGCAAAATTTCAGTTAAACTGCAGTATTATTTAATATTGCTGGTTATTTATGATTATGATAGAAGAATTATCATTTTTCCCTTTTGTCAAATATTAGATTACAAAATATTTATTTGTTCAATACATGGGTAATCCTATTATACTCTTATGTAATTATACGCCTAACTGAACCTTGTTTGTTTACTTTTTTTTAATTTTTTATTTTGATGAACTTTTTATACTTGAATTTATTTGTTGCCAATGCAACCTTTGATTAACTTGTTATGAGGAATTTAAATTGTGGTGGATTTCATGAAGTGGCTTTTCCTAACTTTCATATTTGGTGGTTATTGGATTTAAGTTAAATGTAATGATAGAAAGAATTACGTTGGAGAATCGAAAGATGGTTAATCTAGTAAAATATTTTCTTTCTCATTTTGCTAATTGAAGATGTTGAAGGGATTTGTCTTTGGCTATGAGATCATACTTATAAATTATACCACAATATTTGTGGCACATCTTCCGAAGATTATATGCTTGCTAGTACTAACATTAACATAATGGAAATGATCAGAAAGTTTGGTAAAGATAGCTGAGCTGAGATAGTTTTATAATGCAAGGTATCATAAATCTCTGTAATTGTCTCTTTAATTTTGTGTTAAGGATGGAAAGAAGGTCAAATGTTAGAAAAAAAAGTAATGTTTTCACTAAATATTTATGCAATTAAGTCCTTCACAAAAGTTGGGTTTTTACCCTTGGGTTGAAGGAAGAAGCAAGCCTAGATTGCAATATCTTGTTTGTGTGGGATGATGAATCTCAAGAAAAGCAACGGCTACAAACTCTACATGAAACTCTACAAAGTCAGCAGCAACAAGGGTGATGAGATGATGAAGGTCGCTAGAGTGGAGAACATGGACCATGTTTGCAGGAGAGAAGGATTTGTGAGTGATCGGGCGGGTAGAGCCAATGATCTTATCGAAGGATTCTGACATGAGAATAGTCTCGTGATTTTTTATGATAAAAGAGACATATTTGTTTCATTATAATGATTAATGTGTTAGATAAGTAAATTTGAATTTTTAAGTATTGGATATGTAAATATCAAAGATTAGATGGTTTGTATGCAAGTCCTTTCATCTTCAAGGTTATTTTCTTTGTATTTCCTCGCTTGCAAGCTTTGCATCTCAACAAAACTGCATTCATCCTCTCTCTCTCTCTCTCTCTCTCTCAACAATCTCCTTCTGATCTACCGTCGCCACACAATTGTCTGATTGACATCGGGATTCTTTATTGACCCCTCTACATAGATCTAAGCTTCCGTTGCACGATCTCTCAACACAAGGATTGCTTGTCATCCTGAATTCCTTCTTCACAAAGCGGAGATCTCTCTCTATCCCAAACTGCACACACAAACAACTTTGCTTGCCTTGTTCTCCTCCTACAAACAGAAACAGAAGCTATAGTTGTCAATAACTGTAGAACCTGATCTACATGAATTCCCCATCTCCAACTCTCAAGCTCCCACTTTTCGATTTTATACAAAGTCACCCACTCTTGCCTAAACACTTGTGAAGCTGGTGCAATTTGCAATACATGATTTCTAACTGGAACAATAATTACTTTACAAGATTTTTTTTTTTTGTATTTGAATGAGCTTACTAAATAATATTTTATTCCATTTAGTCTTTTTTTTAGTTGCTGTTTTTTATTCCTGAAGTTTGAAATCAAAAGAACACTAAACTTGACTCCTTCCAAAAAATAATTTGTTGGCTGCTGTTGAGAAATGTAGCAGCAGTCTTGTGAGACCCATTGTTAGTGACTTACTAGTTTCAACTACTTTTTAACAAAGAAACTGTACAACGACTGTTACATATAAGAAACCTAGAGTTTAGCATCTCTAACAAATGTTGATTCACAGAGAATGTACTAAAGGTACCTGTGCTTGCTTGTAAACAAAACAGAAAAGTTATTTTCTCACATTTATAGATGAAAAATAAAATTATGCGTTCTAGAGGATTTTGAGGGGATTTATGGAGTATAGAATTAGTTTTGATTCCTTCATTTATAACTTCCCCTCCTTTTATTTCTCTATTTAGCTGCTTAAACATTTCATTAATATATATCCATTTGCCTTTAGTTAGCATGTCTATGTCCATTAACATTTTAGAGCTCCCAGAGGATAAAAAATATAAGCTTGAGAATGTCTGATTCTTCTTGCACCCTTTTCATTAATTGAGTTAATTAATCATTCATGTCTCACTCTACTTGAATAATTTGGATGCTCCACAATCTTTTAAGATTTTATTAGCATTTGGTATAGTTGATTTTGCTAATTAACACAAGCAAACACAAAAATGAAAGAGACTGTCTAGTAAAAGTTCATATTTAGTTGAAAATAATCCAGTCGTCTAAGTCATCGGACCATCATGTCAACGAAAAGCATTGTAAAGAGATTCTAAGCAATGTTGAGTCAACAAATATTAGTACCTCTGATCTTTGTGAAATATACTTAGCAATTCATCAACTTCTTTTTTTAATAAATTTTATATTATTAACCTTGAAAGTACTTGGAGCTTTAATTGCATTTCCTTGAACTGGATTGATTAAGATTTTGGCCTTCTCCCTTAAGCATTGAAAGTTCTTCTCCGGATATGGGTAGGTGGTGAACTTCTTTTAACTACTACTTACAATTGGGCTGGCAGCACATTTTTATCATCTCCAACCATTGCATTAGAATCCTTGATTGAATAGATTTTTTTGTCAGCTTCTATTATTTAAGTCATATGACCTTAATTCTTCTCCATAGGCTTCCAAATCTCCAATGTAAGAATGAAATTTGGCAGAATTTAAGGAGGGATTCGATTTAATCTAACTGCAAACATAATTTAGAATTTTTATAAGGAAGATTTACAAGCATGCCACTTAATTCCATTGTATTTACATGCCTAACATTCTAAACCTTGAGTTTCACCGTGATAGTCATGGAAAAGTTGCCTATAATTCTGCCTTAATTCATCCCATAAAATCCACTAATCATCATTGCCGTCAATTACATGGAATTAAGACCTAAGTGATGAGAATCGTGTGGTATGTATGTAAATGTCCCTAAATTTTTCCCTCTAATTACATTGGGATATTTATTAATTTTATTTTTTGACATGGCTTCCTTTATAAATCACGAATTTCTTTTATCAGGTGGTTGATCAGTTATTCTATCCAGTCCTTTTAACTCCAAAATTGATATGGAAGGAGCTCGCATTCACCTGAAACTGTGGCAAAGAGCTGCGGTCGCTGTTGGCTCAGCTATGGGTGCTCTAATGGATCCCAGAAGAGCAGATCTAATCGCCGCACTAGGTGAAACTACTGGTATGCCCGCTTTCGAGAGGTTGCTTGCCCGGATGAAGAATAATCCTGAAGGCAGGGTAAGTTTATGATATTTAGGACCTTTTCCAAGAAAGAATCTGATGTTTTGTAATTATCATTTAGCAAAATTTATTTCCTGCAAAGTTTTAGTTATGTTTTGTGAGAGTTTTTTGGTTTTGTTGTTGAGTAAAGTGTTAACCTTCTAATGTGCTTTTGCTTGATTTGCATTTAGGAATCTCCATTTAATTAAAGACTTAAGAGAATTTTCAACCCATTGCATTGTCTTTGAAGTTTACAAAGCTGAAGTTCTCTAAACCTTGAACATTTTCTTTAGGAGAAATTTACAAACATACTGCACAATTCTAATGTATTTACATATCTAAGACCCAAAGTTTGATATCAACACTCATAACACCAGGTTTCATCAACCTATGTATGAAAAAGGTGTATTTCACTTTTAAGAAGATAGTGATGGTAGTATTTTTGATGTGATATTAAGGATTCGAGTGTTATGCATGTGAATATGAATTTTTAGTGTTAGATGTGTAAATACGCAAGAATTATATGGTATGTTTGTGAATGCCCCTTTCTTTAAAGTAGAATCAGGAAATCATAATTCTTTCTCTTAAGGGCTGAATAACAAATTTTGTTGTGAATGTTTGCCTTTCTAAAACCAATTCAACATGCTTGTTTGGAAATGAACTTCATGTACACTTTTTTGCTGTTAAGTAATTTTAACATGATTGGTGGGATTTTTTCCAGTTATTTTATGAATGAGAATGAGATACCTACATTTGAGGATTTTGTGGAGCTGAAAACTCATGTTTTTTCTAATTATATCCAATCATATGGTAAAAGCTAGCAATTTTATTGTTCTGTAAAGAATATTTTTTATTTACAAATTGAGCAAATGGACCCTAAACACCGTTCTTAAAAGAATCCTCTTCCTTATTTTATCTCTCTTTATATGCTCTTGCTTTGGGAATCATAAAATAGTTTGATGTAACTAAGTGAATATTTTGGTATTCTTCTCTCGACATAATTTGAGAAGCTGTTTGGGTATAGAAAATTGCACTAAGTGTCGAAGAATGTGCATTTGATGTTTTGGGGAATTTACATTCATATCACCCAAAACCTATATATTTACATATCTAACACCTAAACTTTACTTTTTACCTTCATACAACCCTAAATCTGTCATATTACATTAAAAAAACCACTATTTTTACTTTTGAAAAGTGAAAGACATATTCTCATGCATAGGAGACAAAGTAGAAGTTTGTACTTGATGCCGGAGTTAACCCAGATAACAACAACGACGACAAGCCTTTATCCCACTAAGTGGGGTCGACAACTTGAATCATTTTTCCATTGCGTCCTATTGAGTATCATATTTTCATTTAATTCTAATAGATTAAGATCACTTTTTTATACAATATGCCCAAGTCATTTTAGGTCTACTTCTGCCTTCCTTAAAATTAGTCAAGGCTGAAGCATCTACACTGACCATCACATGGTCGACGTTTAATATGACCAAACCATCCAAGACAACTCTCTCTAATCTTGCCGCCACTGGAGCTACACGAACCCTATCTAACCCAAACTGCAATGGCAAAATAAATATTATTACTAAAAACAAATATGCGATTACAACCAAACACACTTGAAAGGAAAAACAACACAAACATAACACAAAGTCAATTTGGGGTTGAATTAGGGGTGGTGGAGATCTGGTGGATTGGAATGGCAGGAAAGTGTTGCGGCGGCCAGGGAAGTTTGATGGCAGCGAGGGGGAGGCGCAGAACGGCAGGGGCAGCAAGAAGGATTGCTGTCTAGGCTGATGGCTGCAGAAAAAAGCAAGGTGAAGAGGTTTCTGGGCGGCGGCAGCAGTACAAGATGGCTGGGCAGCAGCGTCAACAATGTGGGTGATATGGATCTGCTGTGGCAGCGATGCGGTGAGAGGGGAAGGTGATGGCGGCATCTGGAACTGCAGAAAACATCAATCAGAACGTGTCCGGGCAGTTGCAGCCAGGAAAGGGGAATTGTGGCCGCGAAGGACAGATAAAGCCGAGTATAATTGCCCCCTTGAGAGCGAGCTATAGCCAGAGCACCACTCAACCCCTTGAAAGATGATCACCGAGAACGCTGAAGGCTGTCCTAATAGAAAACATATGTCAGAACTACAAACCTAAAAGCAGGAATCACATGTATAAGCCATATCTAATTAGGATTGGATCCTTCTATGGAATGGAGGCGTCAATCTATCTTAGGAGAGCCAATCGACCCTCCCGGGTCTAGACTGGTTCGGTCCAGACGAAGGAAATAATGGGAGAAGCTCACGGCTCTTTCTACGCCTTGCCCGCAGCGTTATTTGTGGGCCCTCAGTACCATTCTAAGGTTGTAAGATCACTGGCTAGTAAACAATTATGGTGAGAAATTTGTCTCTTCCTTCTGTGAATTGAATCCACATAAAGTCCTATAGCTCATATAATTGCATTTAGAATAGCCTGTTTTTTTTGCATTTGCACTAATGTGAAGCTTTTCGTAAAAGAATAGAAGAGCATAATCTGGCTTTTAAAGCTATGCCACTGATTATATTGATGACTACTGCAGCACCAACCAGAATAACCAGAATGAATAATTTAGTTGGGATAATCTAAATTGGTATCAAAATTGTCTGTTGGGCGGTCTTGAGATTTGTAATAATGACATTAGCCATTTTGTGTTGGATGATGCATATGAAACTTGAAAGGATCAGAACTCATAATTTAAGGGAATGAAAGATGCATAATACCTTAAAGGCTGTTTGTTTACGGCTTCAAGGCAAGGATGTAAGCTAGGTTTAACTTAAATTTTGCCAAATTGCCAAAATTGCTACTTCAAATACCTGGATTTAGTAAATCCAGTTTCACACATTTAAATCCTACAGAAGTTGTGAAATATTTTCACAGGATTTAATCAGTTTTTTCATGTCATCCCAAACATTTTATGAGATTTTGCTACATTAGGATTTACTAAATCTACATTTACAGGATTCATTAAATCCCAAATGCTGTCACCTAGCGACATAAAACACAAAAATAAGATTTACATACATACCACTTAATTTGTATGTATTTACATATCTAACACCTAAATTTCACTTTTTGCATATGTGCCGCTTCACCCTTGCATGAAAACAGATGTATTTCACATTTTAAAAGCCAAAATAATTTGTTATGAAAGATTTGGGTGGTATAAATATAAAATGTAGAGTCAGATTTTAGATATGTAAATACATGGGAATTTTCATTCATATGGTGCTCCCAACGTTGTTTATAATAATAGTCTCTTCTGTCCAACAGGCCATACTTAGCGAGCGCCCGCGGGTAATATCATCACGAGTTTCTCATGCATGGGATCTACCACAAAACACATTTGGAGCAGCATATGCCAGCTTCATGGGATCCAGAAACTTCTCTCCCGACGATCGGCCACCCGTTCGATTTATGAACACAGATGAGTTAGCATATGTGGCGACGCGTGCCCGTGAAGTCCATGATTTCTGGCACGTGCTTTTCGGCCTCCCGACGAACTTGATCGGCGAGTCGGCTCTCAAGGTGATCGAATTCGAGCAGATGTTTCTTCCCATGTGCATGTTGTCTGTGGTTGGGGGCGCCGCGAGGTTTAGTGAGAAGCAAAGATCTCTCTTTTTCAGGAATTACCTACCCTGGGCAACTAGAGCTGGAATGAGGTGCACTGACTTGATTAGTGTGTATTATGAGAATTACTTTCATGAGGATCTGGAGGATGTGAGGAGGAAATGGGGGATACAGGTTTGCCCAGATTTAAGAGCTAAAAGCTGAGGGCTTTTGCTGTAATTTATTTGATTTGGCTTTATTTAATACATGTTGAAGATATAGGATTATTATACTCTGCAACTATATGCTGTTGTTGGTTTGTATATGATTTTTATCTTATGGTAATTTAACAAATTGTTAAAAAGTTTACGTGTCGACTGTCCGACATTTTAAATATAGCGGGTTGACCGCCCAAATTTTTAAATTTTACATATCAACCATTCAAAAATCACGTAAAACTTTAAATATAAGGGATTGACCGCTCTTGTAGCGTGGCTGAAATGTAAATTTTATGTGGTCAAAATATTATATTTAAAATTTTAGGTGGGTGATATATAAAAGCCTCAATTAGAATATGATTTATGACGAATTTATGAATTTGGTGATTAGAGTTGCAGTTGTATTCGAATGGGAGAAACGACCAATTCGACAAAGACAATCGAGACCTCCCTGCATTCATGTCATTTGTGCAATGAACGCACGTAATATTTGCTCGTAATATTCTGATTTGTTTTAATTTTTTGTTTGAAAAAAAAGTATCTTTCATTTTTTTAAGAAATTTTATGTACATATCACACCAAACTTGTGTATTTACATATATAACTTTTAACTATGCATATTTATATTTAGCATAGCACTCAAATTTTTATATTTACATTTCTCACACCAAAATTTTTTGAATTAGAAATATCATATAAAAAGTAGCACTTTGGGCATAAGATAAGTAAAATTATGCATGAGAGTGGAATTGTATTTTTAAAAGAAAAGTAATTGTGATATTTTCGATGTGATGATGAGCATTTTATATAAGATTTGTGAATTATGCCATCCTAAATGTCTATTTACTTGCTCTAAGCAATATATTTGAGAGTTACGTGTAAGAAGATTACTATTAGGACTACTGAAATTGATACATTTTTATTTTTCCATGAAAACATGAGGCAAAATACATGTATAAATGTAGGGCCGCAAACAAGCCGAGCCAAGTAGATACTTGTTCAAGATCGAGCTTCTTTATCAAAAGATTGTTTAATCTTGGGTTGAGCTCGATTCATGCTTTTAGAAATGTGGTTGAGCTCTAGCTTGTTCATTAAAATCATGTTCGAGCTAGGTTCGTTTAGATATTATTGAGCTTATTAGTGAGCAACTCGCTGAACAAAATAAATGAGTCATAATCATATAGGGAATTATAAGAGCAACTTATTTGCAAGGATAAATAAGTCACATCAAATAGGGCTTGCTAAGCCTAAAACATAAACATTAGAACGCTCTATATAAATAAGTTTTAATTGTGACATAATTGAGTCTTAATCGAGCTTATTCATGAGCTTCAAACGACACAGTTCATAAACATAAATTCATTTATCATATTTTATCAACTAAACATTTATCATATTTTATATTACACCCTTCATAAAACAAATTCAATATATTTAATGAATTTAAAAATCACATATAGAAAATTCTGTAATTAAAGGTACTATTTGGCTATGCTTTAGGCCTGTATAAATTATTAATCTCATTTTTACATAGCAGGCTATTATGATAGAATAACTGCTAGTACTTGCAATTAAAAAAAAGGTAATCTAACCACAGCATCAATGAATACACTTCTAAGAAGAAAAAATATTAATTAACAATGATATCACTTCTTAATCATTTATATAAAACCATTACTAAAAAATCCAACATTTAATCATATTTTCAAAATTATCCAGCTCAATTATACAATAGCCAGATATGTTAAATTAATAAGAATGTTGTCAACAATAAGTTAATCTTCACCAAACTATATATATATATATATATATATATATATATTTGCTCTCTCACACAACGCGTAGGGATCTATTCTGCTCTCTCACACAACGTGCAGGGATCTACTGTATCAACCTCAACGTGCAAGACATGACACTACTAAGCCCTCCTCCTTCACCTCCCTGATTCTCCAAGACTCCAACATACTATCTGAAAGAAAGAATAATGGATCCATTATCCTTTATTCTCATTATAAAAACAGCAATATGCTCGGCCAAACCGATCTCCACACCGGAGCTAACCAACTCTATATATTGTCTGCCCTGTTCCAGCTTTGTTTACAGCCAAAAATCATGGCCTATCGTCTCCTTCCTCTGGCTTTAGCTTCTTTTCTGCTATCTGCATCAATCTTAATTTCAGCAGCTGTAGGATTCGACTATGGAGATGCTCTCAGCAAGAGCTTGCTGTTCTTCGAGGCTCAAAGGTCTGGTAAGCTTCCAGCAGATCAGAGAGTGAAGTGGCGGGGTGATTCTGGCCTTAAAGATGGCTTCCAGCAAGGAGTAAGCAATGCACTTTTCTCTTTGCTCATTTTCTATTAGATGTTCAAAGATATATTCAATTTGGCTAGCTATTATATGATATTTGATTGCATAATTGGTTCAAAATTACAATATTTTAATCAAATTGAGATACCTTTTTCAACTTGAGAGAGAATATTACATATGGATTTGTGCACATGGGTACAATTGTGCAAGTTGTGCACTGTTATATCATGTTATACTCATATGTACAATAATATACAACACTGTTATACAAGAAGTTAGCATGCATGCGGGTTCCATGCCTAATATTTCCTCTAATCCACACTTTCGCATTAATTGTGCGAATCGGGATATGGTTGGGTCAGGTGGACTTGGTGGGAGGCTATTATGACTCGGGCGACCATGTGAAATTTGGGCTACCAATGGCGTATACATTGACAATGCTATCATGGAGTTTGATTGAGTTTGAGAAGGAGATTGCAGCAGCTGATCAGCTGGACTATGCTCTTCATGCTATCAGGTGGGGTACCGATTACTTCATCAAGGCTCACAAGCAGCCCAATCTATTATGGGCTCAGGTATTTTAATCTCAAGTCTTAATTTTATTTTATTTTTTATTTGCAACCAGGTTCATATTGTTTATGATTTGGAGAGCATATAAGAAGATACCATGCTTTATTTCATCCACTGTAATATCAATAAATATGACTAGAAGTAATATTTTTTATAAAATAATTAAGAGTAAGTGAGTCATTTTAGCTGTAGTTTAGACTTATATCCATTTAATAACGTATATTAAGAAATGTGGGTGATATTAATGTTAAAAATAAAATAAAATTGAAGTGTTAGATATGTAAATACATAGGAATTGAGAGGTATGATATATCCTGCATTCTGATAAATGCACACATAAATTTCATTATTTATGTTCTTTTAATGCTGACGAATTGGGTTAAATAACTCGAGGTTGGAGATGGCAATAGTGACCATTACTGCTGGGAGAGGGCGGAGGACATGACAACTCCAAGAGCTGCTTATAAGGTTGATACTGAAAATCCAGGTTCGGATGTTGCTGCTGAGACTGCTGCTGCATTGGCCGCTGCTTCAATTGCTTTCAGGCCTTACAATTCATCTTACTCTCAGCTCCTACTGCTTCATGCTAGACAAGTAAGAAATCCTCATCATTTTCTTGGTTTTCTCAATCCAAAAAAGCTTATTTCCATTTATTTTTTTGTCAGTTTACTTAAAAAATTTGATTTTCATGTTGTTGCAGCTATTTGTGTTTGCTGACACATTTAGAGGAAAATATGATGAATCCATTCCACTTGTTAAGGAATTCTATCCTTCTTCTGGATATGATGTAAGGGGGCTTCAATTCTTTTTTTTTTTAAATAAAGTATTGAGGTTATATATGTAAATGCATAGGAATTGGCTAGTATGCATGTCAATGCTCTTAACTAAAATAACTGTATGAAATTTGTATGAAGAAAAATGCAGACAATCTCCTACTCTTAATAGAAGAGTAGATGGTATATTAGTAATATAACATAACAAATGGGATGGTATTGTAATAATCTATTAGTTTACTTCATGCAGGATGAGCTTCTTTGGGCTGCTGCTTGGCTTTTCGAGGCCACGGATGAACATGAATACCTCAACTATGTGGTGGAGAATTCTGGCTCTTTAGGAGGTACTGAATGGGCAGTCAAAGAGTTCTCATGGGATAACAAATATGCAGGGCTGCAAATCCTTATGGCAAAGGTTAATATAACACTAATTCTATCAATTGTTTAGTTACAGTTTTTGGAGAAAAAATGAATTTACTCATCTTTAAGGTTTAATTGTTCAGGTTTTAATCCAAGGAGGCGCCGAATCATACACAACGACGTTGAAGCAGTACCAGGCCAAGGCTGAGTTCTTCCTCTGTGCTATACTTCAAAAGAACAATGGTTATAATGTTCGCTTGACACCAGGTTCTCTTTATTCTTTCAGCCAATTTTAGTAATTTATTTTACTATTAGAATTTTTCAAATATATTCTTATATTCATGCACAGTATATAATATTTGGCTTAGTTACTTTGGTGCTTAATAGCAATTTCTACATTTGTTCAGGAGGCCTATTATTTATTGATGAGTGGAACAACATGCAATATGTTTCATCTTCTGCATTTTTAATGGTTGTTTATGCTGAGTATTTATCTCCAAACAACTCCAATCTCCACTGCCCTGATGGCCAAGTCACTCCTAATCAAATTCTTCAGTTTGCTCAATCTCAGGTATGCCTCCATTTTTCAAAATCAGAATTTGTGTGTCTATATATATATTGTATATATATATATACATCTATATGTATATGTATGCATATATATGTATATATATACATCTATATGTATATGTTTGTATATATCTATATACGTATATATATGTGTATACATATATATGTCTATGTATATATATATATATGTGTGTGTGTGTGTTTGTGTGTGTATAGTTATTGTGTGTGGGTTAATGATACACATACTATGTTAGGTGTTATGTCAAAGAAGTAGATTTAAGCAAGTAAGTTTTGTGAAACCGAGTTAAGTTATTATATTTCTATGTATTTTAGTAATGATTCTTGTCAATGTAGTGTTATAACTCTACTAAACCTCGTAGACCTTTGGCAAAACTCTTGAGTTTTGGCCTAGTTCGAATCTCATTCAATTGAAACCAATTTGAAACAGTGAAAACAATACTGAAATCACCAAACTCAAAAAAAAAATCTTAAATATTACCCAAAAAATGCAGGCTGATTACATTCTTGGGAAGAATCCAAAACTGATGAGCTATCTGGTTGGGTACCAAGAGCATTATCCAATAAATGTGCACCATAGAGGCGCTTCGATTGAATCAAAATCTGCTCTTCCCGCTGTGGTGGGATGCATACAAGGTTTTGATCAGTGGTATGATAGTAAGAAGGGAAATCCAAATGTTATCTCTGGAGCTCTTGTGGGAGGCCCTGATCATCAAGACCAATTTGTTGATCAACGCTCCAATTATGAGCAAACTGAGCCAGCCATTGTTGGAAATGCTCCTCTCATTGGCCTATTTGCTAAACTTCATACTCTTTCAAAAGGCCCAGGTAATTTAATTCTCATGATATAAATTTATTAGACATTTGTGAAAATCCTTTCATAGCTTTATTTTCAGAGAAAAAGTCCATAGGTTTGATACTCTGTAAGTAATAGATTAAGCTATCGTACATAACATGATTTTGATTGAAGAAAGCCTAAATGTATGAATTGATTTGTAGGCTATGTTCCCAAAGAGACAAAACTGTACAACCCTTTCACAGCAATTGGTAAGTTATATTTGTCTTTAATATTTTTTTTCACATGAAAATTTTCTCATTCTATATAATAATATCCAGTACTTCTTATCATGTAACTTATTAGTTGTTCAAGTAAACTTCATAGAGTTCTTTGGACATCTTTTTAACAAGATAGAGACACTCTAAGACCAAAAATTGGAAACTTTTATAATTATGTACCAAATGAATCGCATTTTAGATTGTCACCCTCATTCTTCATCTCTATCATTTCCTCTTAATATCATTGGCATTTTTCTCGCTGTGTTTGTATAGTTTAAAAACTAGTAAAATATTATTTTATATTTTCATTATTAAATCAAATGCAATCATGTGTCCTTTTATGTCATGTCCTAATTATTAAGATCTTGTCAAGTGCTATGTCATTCTCTTCATTATCTTCTCTTCATATCATTACTATCAAGTCTACATCACATCTTCAAACACATGCAACTAAACTTCACAAATACAAAGAAACACTCAAACTGATAATTTTTTGAGAAATTTACATATATACCACTTAATTCTTGTATGTTTACATATCTCACACCTAAACTTTCATATTTACATACAATACCTTGGTGTTTTAAACCTATCCGAAAAAAAAGGTATATTTCACTTTTAAAAAGTAGTAGTAGTGCTATTTTTGATATGATATTGAAAATTTTAGATCTATGTCTGTAAATATGAAAGCTTAGGAGTGATATATGTAAATACATAAAAATTATGTCCTATGTAAATGCCTTTAATTTTTTTTTTTTTTGGCAAGCAACCAAGGCAAAGCCAACATCAACTTCCTCTTATAAATCACTGTGGGAGGCACATCATTTTTTTATTTATTGTGAAGATTTGCCAACATACCAAACAATTATTCTATTGCAGAGAATCCAATAGTGTTCTTCCATTCAATTACCAACACATGGTCAGACAAAGGAGTGGAATACTACAGGCACAAGGTAACTGTCATAAACAAAAGTGGAAACCCAATCACAAATCTAAAGCTTGCAGTAGAGAACCTTTCAGGTCCTCTTTGGGGCCTCTCATCAACACGAGAGAAGAATACATATGTTCTTCCAGCATGGCTCAAGGTTTTGTACCCAAATAAACAATTCGTTTTTGTTTATGTTCAAGGAGGACTACAAGCCAAGGTTTCAGTTATTAGCCATGACTAAGTTGAAGGATCAGTGATTTCATAATGATCATCATGAAATAGCTATTTGTGTCTAAATTTGTAATACATTTTGATCATTTTTCTTGTTCTTTTTCAATTTTTTAATTTATTTCTAAGAGTATTTATTTCATTTTGAAGCAATTTTTGCTAATGAGATGAGAAAGTTTGTGATGAATCTTAAGGAAATTCTCTCATCTTCAACATTACTCACATGTCTAAATATTGTTCAAGTTTATCTCACTCGACTTCCTGCGAACTATTTTTTATCATATTTGTTCGAAACAGTTTATTTTTGCTAAAAATATTAAAATTTCAATGCACACAAATCATATTTAATTATTTTTGTTTGGAGCTTGTTTTATCTTTTTTGATACTTTCATACAACAAACTGATAATTTGACTAGTTTATGCATGTAAAAATAAAGTTGAGGTCAAAAATCAAAATCAAGATTGGCATCTATTAGGAATTGTAATATACAACCCTTAATTAATTTTGAGTTCTTTCATATAACAAAATTAACGAAAAACTAATAATATCAGTATTATATACATATGAAATAATAATTTCATAACAAAAATGAATCTTCTGAGCTAGTTGAAAATAAAAAACAAAGTTTAATATCTAATTATATGTCTCCATTCATAATTATAAATTATAGAATCAAATAATTAAATTAAAGCATCTATATTCATGTTACTTTTTCTTTGCATACACTAACAAAGCTCCTACATCAAATGACTTAGAAAACAACTGAAACCATATCAAATTAATTGGCAAAAATCGACAGGTTAACAATCATAGTAGTTGGGGGAAAAAATGAATTATATACAAAATTTTTAATTAAATTATGCACATAAGTATATTAGTAGTGCTCTTCTCCCCCCTCCCCAATCCACAAAATAAAATTTTGTATCTATGAGATGTTTTATTTTTCTTAATTAATAACATCATTGAAATCAAATTAACTAAAAATTAAGCATTATTGGATTAATTTTTAGAACTATTTATCGCAACGCAATCTTAAGATGAAGTAAAATTGTAGTTCTTCCAGCTGACCTGAGACATTCTCAAAACTCTAAGAATGGTCTCCTCTATTGGTCTACAAAAAACACAAGAGATCGAAAACTACGAGAGCCCCCACTCTTTTCCCTTCACTCTGCCATCACTTCTTGCTTTACCCTAAAACCTTTAGGGTTTAGGGTTTAGAATTTTGGGTTTTTAAAGTTTAGGGTTTAGGGTTTTTAGATTTTAGGGTTTAGGGTTAAGGGTTTAGGGCTTTATGGTTTAAAGTCTAGGTTTAAGGTTTAGAGTTTAGGGTTTAGGGCTTAGGGTTTAGGTTTTTAGGGTTTAGAGTTTAGGGTTTAGGGTTTAAGGTTTTGGGGTTTAGGGTTTAGGCTTTAGGATTTGGGGTTTAGGGTTTAGTGTTTTTAGGGTTTAGAGTTTAAGGTTTAGGGTTTTTAGGGTTTAGAATTTATAATTTATAATTTAGGGTTTAGTGTTTAGGGTTTTAGGTTTTAGGGTTTAAGGTTCTTAGGGTTTAGGATTTAGGGTTTTTATGGTTTAGGACTTAGGGTTGCCACTCAATTTTTCAACATCAAATAAATTTTTTTTTTATTATTATTATTTATTTATTAACTGAAACATTCACTTTTATGTATAATTTTTTTCTGCAGGTAAATACATAGAAAGTGTGTTATGTTTGTAAATGTTTCCTTAATTTTTCTACGATTGGGAAATTTAACGGCCACGCCGCCTTTAAAGACATTTTGAGAATGAATCTTCTGAGCTAGTTGACAATAAAAAACAAAATTTAATATCTACTTATATCTTTAAAAGTTTCCCTTCATAATTATAAATTATAGTATCAAATAATTAAATTAAAGCATATATATTCATGTTACTTTTTTTTTTGCATACACTAACAAAGCTCCTACATCAAATGACTTAGAAAACAACTGAAACCATATCAAATTAACAGCTAAAAATCAACAAGTTAACAACCATGGTAGTTGAGGGAAAAAATGAATTATATATAAAATTTTAAATTAAATTATACACTTAAGTATATTAGTTGTGCTCTTCTCCCACCTCCCCAATCCACAAAATAAAATCATTTATCTATAAGATGTTTTATTTTTTTTTAAATAATAACATCATTGAAATCAAATTAAATAAAAATTAAAAATTATTGGATTAATTTTTAGAACTATATATCTCAATGCAACCTTAAGAAGAAATAAAATTTTAGATCTTCCAGCTGACCTGAGACATTCTCAAATCTCTAAGGAGAGTCTCCTCTACTGATCTACAAAAAGCACAAGAGATTGAAACCCGACGAGAGCCCCCACTCTTTTCCCTTCACTCTGCCATCACTTCTTGCATTACCACAAGAGATTGAAACCCGACGAGAGCCCCCACTCTTTTCCCTTCACTCTGCCATCACTTCTTGCATTACCCTAAAACCCTTAGGGTTTAGGGTTTAGGGTTTTTAAGGTTTAGGGTTTTTAAGGTTTAGGGTTTTTAAGGTTTAGGGTTTTTAAGGTTTAGGGTTTAAGGTTTAGGGTTTAGGGTTTAGGGTTTTTAGGTTTAGGGTTTTAGGGTTTAGGGTTTAAGGTTTAGGGTTTAGGGTTTAGAGCTTAGGGCTTAGGTTTTTGGGTTTTAGGGTTTAGGGGTTAGGGTTTAGGTTTTAGGGTTTAGGGTTTAGGGTTTAGGGTTTATAGGGTTTAGGGTTAGGTTTTAGGGTTAAGGGTTTAGGGTTTTTAGTTTTAGGGTTTAGAGTGTATGATTTAGGGTTTTAGGGATTGGGATTTTCGGTGTAGGGTTTAGGGTTTTTAGGATTTAGGGGGGACTTAGGGTTATGCCACTCAATTTTTCAACATCACATTAAAAAAAATTTATTATTATTATTATTATTATTATTATTATTATTATTATTTATTAACTGAAACCTTCACTTTTATGCATAAATTTATAGTGCATGTAAATACCCCTAGCTAAATATGTAAATACATAAAAAGTGTGGTATGTATGTAAATGCTTCTTTAATTTTTCTGCGGTTGGGAAATTTAACGGCCGCGCCGCCTTTAAACACATTCTGAGAACGTTTTCGCTCTTTCTGCCGTACAAACAAAAGCAATTGCAAAATATCTTCCGACTTTCTCACAGTCCACAGATCACCTATTTAACGACCAGTACTGCAAGGAAAAAAACCAAGCAAACATGGCCTCCGCTGTCCCTCCTTTGAACATTACAAGGGTCTCTCCATGGGCTCCTGCGAGCAGAAACATGAAGCCATGGAAGAATCAGAGAAGCAGCCGGAAGCATCCCCGCTGCGAGGTCGGAAATGGAGGCGGCGGCAGGCGCAGCTCGGCTGTGGTTTCGTGGGCGGGGGAATATGACCTCTACTCGCTGCTTGGGGTGGGGAGGACCTCGGAGGCGGCGGAAATAAGGGCGGCGTATCGTGCGCTGCAGAAACGGTGCCATCCGGATGTTGCTGGCCCGGCGGGTCACGACATGGCCATTCTTCTCAACCAAATTTATTCGCTCCTCTCAGATCCAGCTTCGCGCAATGCCTACGATCGGGTTTGGCTCTGCTTCCTCTCCTTCATCTATTTCTATGATGTATGCAGCATGATGAATAGTGTTTGTTTGATTTTGTATTGTTAAGGCGATGAGTTTCTTAAAAATCCCTCGATGATTCAATCATGTCTCGTCAATTGAGGGAGACCTAAAACTGAAAGTCTCTAACCGATCAGAAATCTTTGCGTGGCAACGGGCTTAATCAGGATTTACGCAGGATTTAAGCTGAATTCTGCTAGATGATCATTTTGGACAAAATAAATTCCTTGATGCCATAAATCATGATTGCACGGATTTCGGCTTTAAATCCTAGATTTACTAAATTCATAGAGTAGATGGATTTAACTTAGCAGGCTTCAGACAGTGAACTATAACGACTTCTTAAATTTTTACAGAAATCGCCAAACGATTTTACTGGCTTTACATGATTTATTAAATGCGCTACCAGGCAGTTTTCCGAATTTTACTCTTTCAGTATTTAGTAAATTCAGATTTACGGGATTTACTAAATCCTAATATCTTAAATCTCATCTATTGCCAAACAGCTTTTTAAGATTTGACATTATATAAGCAAGAATTTACGACTACATAGAAAAAACTAAGCATTGGGCACTAAATTTTAAGTTCAGTAGAGTAATAGTATTTAGATGGAATAAGTTGAACACCTCGTCCAACATTAAATAGGAATGATGTTGATTTTCACTGTTTTCAATGTTCAAGTAAAACTTTTACCACAGTCCTCGTCGCCTTATTCTCTGTGTGTCGAATTTCAGATCCAATCCTCCTTTGTGCTTTTTGAAGTAATTTGTCTCAATCTCATGATAAGATCACATTTAATGAATCAATTAGTCATGTAGCTATGCATGACATGTGTAACCATAAGCAATCAAATTAGACAATCACAATAAACTGCTCTACACATTTGTAAGTCTCTAGTGTTGCTCATGCAGGAGAGATCAAAACACTTTGAATTCCATGGCTACACTGGTAAACCTATTTACTCGAGATGGCTCGGACACGAGGGCGAACACCGAGCGGTATTCGTCGATGAGGTCAAGTGCATTGGGTGCTTGAAATGTGCCCTCCATGCAAACAACACATTTGCCATCGAATCAGTTCATGGTCGTGCAAGAGTAGTGGCACAGTGGGCTGACCCGGAGGACCAAATCTTCGATGCAATCAAAACCTGTCCTGTGGATTGCATCTCGTAAATACACCAACCTTTTTTTCCATAGAATTTGTTTCAATTCTGAAACATGTTTTAAATATATCATTATTTTTTATATCTAAATACAAATAAACATATTGTTTAAAACTTGAGTGTAGGGTTGTGGAGAGATCAGATCTTGCTGCCCTTGAATTTCTTATGTCGAAGCAGCCGCGGGGCAATGTGAGGATGACCGGAGGCAACAGTGTAGGGGTACGGGTGGCCAATGTGTTTGATGAGGTGAAGAGGTTTCAGAAGAAGTTTGATGAGATGAATGGTCAAGCATCAGCCAGAAATTCGCAAGTTAGTAAGCAAAATTTATTGTTTTGGAACTTTTACTGCAAATATATTCTGAATTAGGAACGTAAACTGAAGTCTCATAACCAGGGAATTAAAACCTTTCTGCTTGATTACTTTGTAGTTGAATAAAAAATGGGGCATTTACATACATACCGCCCAATTCCTATGTATTTACATATTGTTTGGGAACTTTACTTGTTGGGGCATTTACATACATGCCACCCAATTCTTATGTCTTTACATATGTAGCAGCTAAACTTTGCCTTTTTAGTTATATACCACCCAAATCTTTCGTATAACATATAATATACCACTCTTTTAACTTTTAAAAAGTGAAATGAACCTTTTCGTGCATAGACAAGGTAGCATATATGTAAAAAATTGAAGTTTAGGTGTTATATACAAATACATAAGAATCAAGTGGTACGTATGTAAATCTCTCTTTTTTTTTTTTTTTTGCATGGTCCAGCATAAACGCTACCTTGCTCTTTTGCATCACATAAAAAATAATCACTGTCAAGAATAGTTCTTTGACTAATTATATGGGTCCATTTTTAGTCCTGAACTTTATAAAAGCGCAAATTATTCCCCAATTTCTTTAAATCGGGGCTCTAGTAGTCCTCCATTGGGACTATTTTAGCCTCAATTTAAAGAGTCTAGGGACCAATTTGACATTTCTATTGTAAATTCTGGGACTAAAACAACCACATGTAAATAGTTGTGGACTGTTTTGGCATTTTTTGTACCCATTTTAATTTTTAAAAGTGATACACATTTTCATAGATAAGGTGACACACATGTATTTTTAAAAGTGATACACATTTTCATAGATAAGGTGACACACATGTAAGTGTTATGCATGTAAATCTTCTAAAAACAGAACTGATTAATTCGGCCTGACATCTTCGCAGGAGGCTGATCTCCAGAGAAAATCAAGAGCTTCAGCAATGGATGCAGTCAGGTCCATTTCAAACTGGTTGCATCGGCAAAAGTTCAGCTCTGGAGAAACTCAATTAAGCCTTACAGACTCCTCAACAAAATCATTACCTCCGAACTCCCAAAAACTGCAAGAAGCTGCAGCCAAACTGAAAGCCAGAGCAGCTGCAGGGTTCTCTAACTGGGCTACATCCAGCCATGAACATGAAGAAGAATACTGGACGCCATTGCTTATCCTTCCAACCCAACCAACCAGAAGCTCAAATAACTCCTCAGAATCTCACAAACCACACCGTCGAACAAGTAATATAAATGAAAAGAAGAAGGAAATAAGCAGCCAAGACAGAACAAAAGCTATGGATTTTGGAATTCCATTATCAATGGCGGTGGTATCAGTGATTGTTAATGGATCGAAAGGCGGAGATTCGAGCTTCAGCCATGGCTTGGAACAGCATATTGGGGGGTCATTGGCTTTGGCAATTGTCAACAGTTTTGAGCTTCGGGTTATGTTGGCAGGTATTACTTGGTTTTTTGTTGGGTTGATGGTTGTGACAGTATGTGGGTTTTTTCGAGAGAAAGACATCTTCAGAAGATGAATGATATTTGGTTTTTGCTTGTGTAGGTGTGTAGGGTTATAGAATTATACAGAAATATGTCAAAAATATATATTATTGGATAGTTAGGATTTTTATTCGCTATATAAAAGTGGTATAAACTTTTTTTTTTTCAATTTTACCATGCATATTTAAAACACGATTATGCCCCACTAATTACTTTTCTTTCAATTTTACCATACTTTTTTTTCAATTTTACCATACATATTTGAATTAAGTGTCAAAAGAGCCTTTCACATAGGACACTTTTAATGCAAAAATTTATAAAAATATCAAATTAATCTCTAGGGGTTTAAAACACGAGCGAGCCAAGCTCAGCTCGTGTTCGGCTCGTTTATATTTCGAGCTCAAAAAGTGTGTTCATGCTCAGTTCGTTTGCTTAACGAGCCGAACATGAATTGTTCACGAACAAAGAATTCTTTTAACAACCCTAATCATGTAGTCATAAGACAATAAGAGTTTGAGCAAGATTTAAAAATTATTATTTATATTAAAACATCATTTGAATCTAATTTAATAATTTTTTATTCTATTTTTTTAATTAATATTTTAATTGATTATAAATCTTTGTAGCCTTAGTCAATTAGATTTTTTTAATATATTACTTAATATATATATATAAACTTGATGAGTAGTATTTCGAGCCAAAATGAGCCGAACATGAATGAACACATCTTAATTCGTGTTCGGCTCGTCAACTTATCAAACGAAATTAACGAGCCGAACACGAGCTTCTTATCGAGGCGAACACTTCGCAAACAACAAGCTGTTTTGACAGCCCTGTTAATTAAATTTTAATAATCCTGCACGAGGATTTTACCCAATATTGAAGAGACGTGATTATTTTTACACTTTTATAAACACAAACTAAAAGAACTCCCATGTAAATAGTCTGAATTATTTTGACGCTTGCCTCAATATGAATATGAATATGAATATATATATATATATATATATATGGTGCCTTTCTTTCCTAAAAATATTAATCAGCAAATTGCATCATGTAAAACCCTTAGTTATAAAAACTTATTTCACCACAAAATTAGTTCCAAGAAGCAAAAATAAAAATGCAATAAAAACAAAATAGTTGAACTTCAGGAAAGCAAAAGCTCTTGCAAAGTGGGTGGGTTCAGCAAAAATCAAACTAGGATTCTTTCACAAACCCATCCCATGCCTCACCCATGTTTGCGTTAAATAAAAATATGAAAACAATTAACCTGCATCCAAAACACTAAAAAGAGCCATTTACATGCATATCACCAAATTTATATGCATTTACATATCTAGCACCAAAATTTAACTACTTAAATTTATATCACCAAATTTTTTTTTTTTTTATTTCACATCAAAAGCACCATCATACTAACTTTAAAAATGTGAAATGCACAAGTTCATGCATAGGTTGAAAAGGTAAGCATGTAAAAATTGAAGTTTTACGTGTTACATGGGAGATGAGTGGTATGCATGTAAATCTTCCAAAACAAAATGCATGGAACCCATAGCGGATGAAAACACTTGGAGAAAAAATAAAAAAAGAAAAACTAGTTCAAAGTGTAAAACTGATCCATGTATGCTTCTCCTTAAAAAGTCCTCCATCTGCAAAAGTTAAATTAGCTTCTGATTTGAATATGAGAACTTTGTTTTCTAAAAAGCAAAAACTCAAAGCAGGCAATGTAGGCCACATCTTTTTAATTAAAAAAAAAAATCTCCCTCTTCTGAAGAAAATTTGATCCCCCTTAATAAAATTAAATCTGCTTCCTCTGTGTGGGGGAGTAAAAACAGCCACTTGAACTTGTAACACTTTCAGATTTCGTCTCGGCAAATTGGAGAACTCACCACCTATTTTTGGGGGGCTTCACTTTGTATATGCGAATTATCCAATTTGAAGTTGTGAAAGCCTCTTCCAGATACTCCAGCTTCACGTCTTTATTCCCAATTTCCACACCCCTCGCACGATCATAACTGCAATTTGGGGCCGAATAATTCAGTATGTAGCTTGCTTTGTGTTAACAAAAGTACTGGCATTCAGTATGTGCTTGTGTATGTGAATGTGGCATTGAAATGTGCACAATATCTGAATGCTAATAAAAAAATCCATGTCTTGATGAAAAATACAAAACATGAATTTAAAAAAAAAATGATGGCGGATCTCTATTTGACAAGTAGCTTTCAAAAAACTATAAACAATTAAATACTAAGAAAAAAAAGTTCTTATCAACAATGTAATTTAGCAGCTTTAAGCAAATTTTTGGAAAGAGGTTGTCAGAGGGGTCAGCAGGTAGAGAGAATATTACATGCAGAATCACAATCTAGCCGGATTTTATATACAGCATGATTGTACACGTGTAGATTATTGTATGTGTACAACCTCGCTATACACAAAGTCCGGATGCATACGGACTCCGCATGTAATATTTTTTTCCATCAAATGAGTCCATTACAGTTGATTGAAGTTTTGCATTAGCTTCTGTAGCTTCTTAGAAGTGCGGTCTTAAGGTTTGTAGACTAATGGTTTTACAGGAAATAATTTTATGGTTTTTTTTTTTTCTTTCGTTTAAGATATAATTAGTCATTGATAAGTAAAAGCCAAGCCTGAAATTTTATCCAATAAATAAAGAAGCAGGATCAAAGAAAAAAAAAAGGTATCCTTGCAAGGTAAACCCTATGCTTAACGGCAGCTATTACAAGCCATGAAATGTAGCAAAAAACCATACCCCGGAGGCTTTCCATACTCTGTTGTGACCTCTCCAAACCTATAGTAAGAAAGTTTGTACCTGCCCCAGAATCAAATGAAGTGTCAAATAAAAAAACATATTTTTCATTTCAGAACAGCACATAATGATAACTGCTAAAAATTACAGCATGCATCCCAATCATTCACCTAACAACTTGCTTCAACAACTTGTGAATGAAATATGAGGTTTTACATTCACGAGGGAATCATTTTACAGTTGAATATTGTAAATGCTTCCGTCCTCTACTCCAACAAGCCTATCACCTCGGCGAATGAATTGGAAGACTTCATAGTAAACAATATTTTTTTCTGGCATCCGTTTTCTTCATTACAATTGTTTCATCATGGCTGTTTAAATGTATTCTAGATTTAATAAAAAAAATGGAAGATTTACATACATGCCACTCAATTCTTATGTACCGAAACATCAATTTTTACATACATGTCACCTTACCTATGTATGAAAAGGTGTACTTCTTAAAAGTTCGAATGGTGGTATTTTTTATGTGATATATGGAAGATTTAGGTGGGGAATAAATGTAAAAAACTGTAGTTTACGTGTTAGATGTACAAATACATGGGAATTAGTTGGTATGTGTGTAAATACACTTAAAAAATAAATAGTTTCTTAGACTTTCCAGAAGTTCAATTCTATTAAGCCACTGTTCCATTCCAACCAAAAACTGCTCACCGCTCCAATGGCCACATTAATGTTTACAGAAGTCATCAGTATGTCTAAATTGAAATTTAAAAAATCATAGTTACGAGCTTACATGAGACAATTCAGCATTTTTGGCGCAGCCCCTTTATCAACTCGGTATTCACCGTTCACTAGGTAGTCGGGTTCTTTTATTACAGGAAAGACACCACCACCAATACGCACCATCCAGAGAAACCTACATGAATTATCAGCGCTTTCAAAACCAAAAAAACATACACATATAAAATGCTATCTAAATCGAAATTATGTTATAAAACATACTTGTTAATGTCGTCTGAAGAATAACCTGTAACACCTCCAAATACAACAAGTACATAATCCACATCCAACGATTTCATAATCACATATGCCTCATCTTCGTATGATGACATAGCACGACCGACCGTAGCAATATGCGTATTATTCCAAGTATTATTATCAACAATCACAGTTCTATTTCCCATTGCGGTAATCTGATATCCATAATCCCACCAGGACATAATTTTAGCATCCTGAGGTGTATTTTTTCTGAGCCAAAAATAGGCCTCACGGTAATCATCAAAAATGACTCGGCCACCATGTGAACCCCTTGCAGCCAAAACAATTGAAGGAGAAGAATAGGCCTCGGATGTGACCCAGGTGCAGTGAATGGCATATCTACTTAACAGATAAAAAGCACCAAATAGCAAAGTGATGGCCACATTTCTTTGATAAGGGAGAGGTTGGTCGAAAGATGATGCCTGGAAATACGCAATGACGATCTATCTCAATAATAGTTCATTTTCGAAACTGTGAAGTGTGAGGTTACTATTGCCTGAATATGATAATAATAATATGCAACAAATCTAAACTTAGTAAACACTGACACAGGAAGACTTCAACTCTATTTTACATCCCTTATTTACAATTTGAAATGACTGCTCAGTAAGCATACGGATTACAACAATTATACATCAGTACAGATAAAAAAGTTATGCTCCAATTATGGCCAATTATGACAAAAACGAGTCACTGTCAAATTTAGCAATAGCCATATTGACAATAAGAATTTATATATATCATCAGAATTTATAATAGGGGAATTTACATACTCGCCACCCAATTCCTATGGATTTACAAATCTAGGAACTAAACTTTGCTCATTTACATTTAAACCGCCCAAATCTTTCATATCACATCCAGAATCCCGCTGTTTTAAATTTTAAAAAGTGAAATACAGCTTATCTTGCATGGGTAAGATTGTATGTATGTATATATGTATGTATGTATGTATGTATGTATGTATGTATGTATGTATGTATGTATGTATGTATGTATATA